TCATATCTAAATTGATATACCAACTTTCTAACTATTGACAATAGCTCCATGGCAAAGGAAAGCAAAACACTTTCAAAGTCATGGGAGAGGTGAAATAAGATACTTGTCTACGGAAAAAATGGGAATCTGTGAAAATTTATGTAGAAAGGATAGCATGTCCAATCATGCATCACCTCCCTTTTTTTCCCACTGCCACATTTTACTAATCTCTGTGTACCTAGCAAAATGTTGTTAATTGTATTGAGCAAATTATTCATTTGAAAAATAAGAACATTTGTAAAATAAGCAAATGGTGAACACAGGAAGAATGTATTTACACTGAGAAAGACGCAACCGAATCTATTTTTGTAAATTTTACATGTTTGCTTAACAGTTTTAAGGTTTACTTTCATTGCAACCTTTACTGTTGTATCTACAGTGTCTTTATTGGTCATAAGTAATTATAATTGCGTGCAGTCGATGTTTGTCATGTATTCATATTTTTGCAATGGTTTATTTAATATCAAAGGTTTTTTATACTAAGAACTGACTTATGCAAGAATATACATGTATGGAATTTTTGATCAATGAAGGGAAAAAATCCATTCACCGTTTCGAAAGACAATTCTGTCTTAATCATTGATATTCAAATTCTGTCTTATATGATTCTCTATTCCTGAGTTAAAACTTGTGAAAGTTTATAAGATTTAGCAGTAGTCCTTTGGAATTTGACTAATCTCAATGTTATTATGTACTCTGCATGAGGTTCTTATTTATGTATTTTTATTTCTATAACAATTGCTCCCGATATCAAATCGTCCACGTATAAGCTCTTGAGAATATCCTTGACGACCTCGGGATAACGGTTTTCTAAGACGTTAAGGTGTTCTTGGAGCACTCCGTTTAGAAAGAAATGCGATGGTGTTAGCCCAAACGCCACTCGACTGAATCGAAGCACTTCTATTTCACTACTGTTGACGTTCTTGATCCAGTGAAAATGTAAGGCATCTTGTTCACTTTCATGCACTCGCACCTGTAGAAAGGCCTTTTTCAGATCTCCAGCGATAGCTACTGCATGAAATCGATTACGGACAATGACGCTCCAGAGCTTATTATGTAATGGTGGTCCAGTTAGCAAGCAGTTGTTGAGAGAAGGGAATTACCACACTCACTTGCAGATGCATCGTACACAATTCGTAGTTTCGTAGTTTCAGCGTCCTTCATAACGACTGTTTTGTGTTGCAGATAGAATTCCTTACCCTTCGCTTTATGATTCCCCTTCTCAACAACTTCTTGGTGTAGTTGTCCTCGTATCACCGCGTCATATTCCATTGACATATTTTCACGTTTTAGTTTGCGTAAAAAAGAATTAAGGCGTCTTAGACTTCCGTTACGATTACAAGGCAATGATGGATGATTAGGATTCTATGGTAATTAGATTTAGTGATGTTAACAGCTGTACTTAAAGCGTAGGAGTGGCTTGCACCGCTGTCCAATAGAGCCAGGAACTTAAATCATTTAGTGAGGTCAACAGCTGTCCTTGAATCGTAAGAGTAGCTTGCACCGCTGTCCAATAGAGCCCGGAACTTAAATCCATTGATATGTACAACAACAACTTTGATTTAGTGAGGTTAACAGCTGTCCTTGAAGAGTAGGAGTGGTAGCACTGTCCAATAGAGCCTGGAACTTAAATCATTTAGTGAGGTTAACAGCTGTACTTGAAGTGTAGGATAGGCTTGCACCGCTGTCCAATAGAGCCCGGAACTTAAATCCATTTATATGTACAACAACAACTTTGATTTAGTGAGGTTAACAGCTGTACTTGAAGCGTAAGAGTGGCTTGCACCGCTGTCCAATAGAGCCCGGAACTTAAATCATTTATTGAAGTTAACAGCTGTACTTCAAGTGTAGGAGTGGCTTGCACCGCTGTACAATAGAGCCTGGAACTTAAATCCATTAATACGTACAACAACCACAGGATGTATCACCGAACACTTTCCAATATGGTTTGCAGTCATCCCAGGCTCTTTGGACTCTTTAGGGTTTTCATTCTTATCACAAATGGAGGTGTGATGCTGACCTTGACAGATTTGACATCTTGTTTTGCTCATACAATCTGCTGCTCTATGTTTGGGTCCTGCACAATTGAAACACAGACGCTTTTCTGCCAAAATTTTCTTTTGATTCTCGCTTCTAACGACTTTTGTTCAGTTAACTGCTTTATAAGTTGCAGAACAGAATATGCAGCCCTTGTTCTGATGTTAACAGCTATTTTCACCGTGATTGCTTGTCATAATGGATCTCCCTCTTTTGGAGTCCTTTTGCCCTGGTCCTTGATAGGATTGTTGCGGGTCCACTTCCCTAGAGCTTCGACAAACTGTGTAAAGTTCCATTTATCCTGATCTTCATACATGAGTGGCAACTCACTCTTAATCACAGCTAACTTTTCAAAGGTAAATCGAACGGCTGCATCAAGCTTATCGAGACATTTTAATGTTTACAATGATTCAACTTTATACAAAAGTGTTTCATAGAAGTTGTGTATTTTTCCCACATCTCGTTCACCGATTGTTGGCAGCTCAAGCATACTTTTCACATAGGCACTTATAACTTCTCTTTCGTCACCATATCGTTTCTCTAGAATATCTATGGCTCAATTATATCCTTCTTCTGTAAATGGGAGACCATCTATTAACTTTCTCACCTTCAATTCAATTAACTCATTTAGAGAGGAGAAGTTGGTAACTGGATCAACATTTGATTTATCTATTTGAGCTTGGAATTGCCCCCAGAACCCATCTCGTGGTGTCCCATCAAACTTAGTTGTAACGAGTTTTGATATCTTTACAGTACTAGATCCCTCATTGCTAGGACTTGATCGAGAATCTTTCAGCTTTTGTTGAAATTCAAAATCGAGTTTCCGCCTTTTTGCATCTGTCTCTTTTTCTTGAAGTAATCGTTGCTTAGTTAGCTCTCTTTCAAATCTCAGTTTCTGTTGCTGCTCCAATTTCACAAAATCATCCTGTGCTGCCAGCTCTACTCGTTTCAACTCGTTGGTGATGTGTCGTATACATTCATCAGCCTCAGCTAATAAGTCGTCCACTTCCTTCGACTACTCTTGCACTTCTTCTTCAGTTTTACCATTAGTAAGCATTTCATCTTCAATACATTCCTTGAGTTGATTTACTGCTGTAGAGTTTGTTGCAACTGACAACCGCTGTCGTTCCATGGCCTCTTTATCTCCTTTAGACACGATATATTCAGTTCTATTCATGTGTAATTTCGAGGTTTTTGACTTGGCAGTCAGGTTGGTAAGATTTACTGCCATCTTTAACAACTTGTACTGAAATTCTTCGCAAAATTTCAGGAAAAATTTGTCCTTTTGATCAATTTAACGTCACAGTATGTATGCTCACACGTCGTAAATTTTCCGATTGAAACCTGCAGTTTCGTCCCAATCCTTTTCAATCCTGCCGGGTTCGCCATTGTTTTGGAAACATGGAAATGTTTCTTTAAAGTTTCCTAATGTACTCACACTCTCAGGTTGATATTTTTGCTTTATTTTTTAAAACAAAGGAAATACGGTTATAAGCAACATACGAACATCGTTATTATTTTCATCTCCCAAAAAAACAAAACTCACATGATTAGTCTTTTCATAAAAATAATGCGCCTCCCCATTTGGACACATGAAAATTGGAAAATTAAAGTTTATAGAAAAAGTAATGAATGACTTGTGTATTATTTGTACTTTTCTTACGTTGTCTCATCATGCAGAAGACATTCATCAATTGTTAAGTTTTTAGAAATTCTCGTAGCATCTTCAAACGGAATCACACTTTAAGTGTTATCAATATGAGCAGGCATGTGGCTAGGATGTAAAATTTGGGGGCGAAACAACATTTTTTTGGGGGGGGAGCAGTTGTAGACGTCAAGTAATACTGTATTATAACAATAATATAATTTATCACTAGTAAGTTTTTGTGGGTAGCCGTTGAGCTTGCGCGGCTAACCACTATGCCTTATTAAAAAAGTGTCTGAGTGAGGCAGTGAGGCAGGCAGTGTTTGTTCGTCGTGATATCCTCGGCTGTGTCATCGGTGATAGTCGCATATGCGAACGATCACGAATAGAATTGTCTTAAGTAATGTCAATACTTATGTTGTTCTTCAAATACCTATGCTTTAGAGCGTATAATCTGCACTTTGTTTTATCGAGTATAGTCAAAGCATTGCAGCTGAAAATATCTTTCATTTATACGCTTTACTGGTGATTACAGACGTCAAATATATCTCGTTGGGGAAAAAATACAAAGAACTTGATACTCTGTGCATTCCGTACTTGTATTTTGCTCATATGTCGCGTTGTTTATCTCTCAGCCTGTGTTCTGTGTTTTGGTGAGGAAAATGTAAAGTTATTACTTAATGACTTAAGTTATTGTCCTATGGGGGACTACTGCAGTTTAGCGGACACCTTGGACGCTGACCCAAACCCTACCCTATAATCCCAAGCAAACACGAGCCCGCGGTCACAAGCGCTTCGGGTGTCCGCTAAACTGCAGCCCAGCAAAAATTTAAATTGGAACAGAATCATCAGCAATATAGTCCTATCAAAATGTTAATAAGAAAATATTCCTACAACACAGCAAACCAGTTTGATATATCCTGTTAAAAGAACGACGTATCTCTTCACCACACGATTGTTAGACAAATAAGATATATTATTTATCAACCAGGAGTTACTATCGCATGGTGAATGCTGCCTCTCGCGCTGAGTAGGCGAAAATATCATTTTAACTTTTTTTCCATTATATCAAGTCTACTATTTTAATGCCTTGATGTAAGATCAATTACCGGGTCATGTCACTAGGCAGTGAGCACAATTTTTATCGAGAAATAGAAATGAAGCACACAAGTCTTTATAAATGACTTGTTGTATTATTTTTAAGTAATCCTTTTAACTTTTGTGAACATTTTGTACATTTTAAACTATACCTTTTTTCACAAACTCATTCCTTATTTCTAGAATAAAAAATGGCTTCACCACCTAAAAAATTAAAGATTGAGGAAAATGGATCTCGTTTGAGTAAACTTTTAATCAATAAAGGAACCCAAGCCTTAAAAACAACATTGCAATCTTTATTAAAGCCATCAAGTTTAGCTGGTAAACTTAAAGATCCCTCTACAATGAAGACATTAACATCTTTGAAATGTAAAGTCATCAAGAATGAGCAATGGGATCTACTTTACCCGTCGATTGGTGACCCTGACATTGAAAACTTTGACATCATATTATTGACTGTCTTATTGCGAAATATATGTGGTCTAACAGCATCAACTACAGGATGGGATAAACTTCCTTCCTCTTTTGATTCTTCAGTCTCAGCAAATATTGCAAGAATAAAGTTTTATCGAAATAAAGTGTACGGCCACATAACTACAACTAGTGTAGACGACAGTAAGTTTGAGTACTTGTGGCAGGAAATTTCAAAAGCATTGGTTGGTCTGGGTATTCAAGAAACTGAAATAGATGAATTAAAGAAAGCTCCCCTCATAGCCGATGAGGCAAATTATATTGAAATGTTAAAAGATTGGTATAAAACAGAAGAGCAGTTAATCGATGTCACTAAAAAAATCAAAGAATATGTGAAAGTAACTAATAGAAATGTTGTAGAGATGAAAAAATTGTTAGAGGGCAAAACATATTCAGATGTCGAGAAGCTTGGAAAGTGTAATTTCTACGGTCTTATTAAAGAACTTAACAAGAAATACTTACCTGGCACTAGGCAATGGTTATTTGAAAAACTCAAAACTTGGTTTAACGATAGAAGTGAAGATGCTTCTAATGTCATGATTTTGATTGCCGGTCCAGGTGTTGGTAAAAGTGTGTTTGCTGCTGAGGTGTGTCGGCGATATTCTGAAAAGAAGAAACTTGCTGCTTCTCATTTCTGTAGATATAATCGATCAGATTATAGAAATCCTCGAATGTTGATAGAATCATTGGCTAGTAGCATGTGTGATACAATATCAGAGTTTAAATCTAAACTGAATGAAGAATTACATAGAAACCATTCCAAAGAATCGATCACCTATGCTTTCCGTGTTTTATTAAATAATCCATTGCATTTGTTGGAAGATCATAAACCAATGCTTTTGGTTATTGATGCCTTAGATGAAAGCCAAGTTGATGGCAAAAGTGAATTGTTGGAATTGATTGCAGAAGAGTTTGACCGATTGCCTAAATGGATTAAAATCTTCATCACCAGTCGTCCAGAACTTCCTGTTCAAAAGGATTTGAAAGACATGAATCCTGTGGAGATTACAACTCATCCTCGTGATGAAAACAACGAAGAAGACCTGCACAAGTATTTAAGACATCAGTTGAATGATTGTGTGCAGAGAAATCGCTACCTTCTTCAGAAATTATTTGAAAAATGTGAGGGATCATTTCTTTATGCGCATTACGCACAACTGAGCTTAAAGAAAGAGGAAATTGAGCTTACAGAAGAGAATATTAAATCATTGGTCCCTAGTGGGTTAAGCGGTGTTTACACAAAGCAATTCAAAACAGTAAAAATATTGCTGACAGAGAAAAGTCTTTCAACCGGAAATTCAGTTATTTCCGAAGTTATTTTTAAGCAATTTCTTGAATTGTTGGCTGCCTGTCGGGAGTTTTTACCATTAACTTTACTGTTTAGCTATTTAGGTTTTTCTGGTGACATCAAGTTTGAATTCCGCAGTAAAATCATTGAACTGTTATCTCAAATTTTGCCAGTTTATAATGACTCTTTAACCGTGTATCACAAATCTCTAAATGATTGGTTGAAATCAGATGGTTACGAACAGCACGAGTTTACAGTTGATCCAAAAAATGGTCATAAGTTCTTATGGCAGGCTTGTGAGAATGTGTTTGAACAAATTAAGTGTAGGAACATTTCAGAAGATCAGATGAACTCTGCTGTGATTAAATATGCTTTGATAAATGGAGTCCACCATCTGATAGAATGTAGCAAAAATGTTGACTTTAGTTGAGCAGAAGATGTCAAAGTGGTTGGTAGGAGGTCAATAGATGTGGAAGACAACGACATGCATACCATTAGGTCTGAATTACCATTAGGTATGGTTTTCCACTTTTAACGTGATGTACTAAACTTTATGGTTTCACTGTATGCGTTTTCACTGTATGCGAATATACTCTAAAGTAGTAAATTCAAAATGTTTTATCACAACAAAAAATTTTCTTCTCGGAAATTGTTATTTATTTATAGTGACTGTATAGTACATCTTTCAAAATAGACTTTGTTTTCTAAAATTTTCACTGCACCATATGTATAGTACATTATTCAAAATAGACTTTAAGTTTGCAGAAATAAAGATAACGAGGTTCACTTTACCAAGATGAGTAAGAGAAACAGTACGTGTCAGTTAATTTAGTGTTAAAGCATAAAATGCGTAAAACGAAAATTTAGCAACATCTGTGTTATACATTTATTGAACAGACATTTCAATATGATAATGCTTCCTGTACTAGTTTATGCATATCACTTTTCATTCTCGAGGTATAGAAGTTTTTATAATGTCCGATTTATCATTATTTTAACATGACAGAGTTTCCTTCTTTGTGATGTGTTAATGATATAAATTACTGCGTACCATTATCAACCTAAAGTTTTCAGGAAAATTGAGGGTATTTGAAACATTGCAGCGACTCAATTTGCATGCAATATTATGTCACAAGTTAGATAAATTGGTAATTGCAACGACTTCAGTATTTTAGAATGAAAAAAGTCATGCAGAAAAGGTTTAAGAAAGCACTCTGTCATTTCAAAAGTTCTGGTCAATACAGATATAATTTAACTAGCAAAATTTTCGTTTCATTGGCACTTTAAGATGTCCAAACAAGGCTTGAGAGAATAATTGTTGAGATCGAACTTCAATCTTAATGTTTGGCCACAAACATAAGATAGTCTATCTAAAAGACGAGTGTCGAGGATAGAAAGAAAAATTGAATGAAGCTATTTTGTTATCTTTTGGTATAAAAAATTTTTTAGACTCTAAAAAATAAATGCTCTCAAAATTTTAATTTAATATTTTAGAAAAACGCAAGGTTACTCATTAAGAAAAATTCATGAAATTACTGCAGAGAGAAGTTTTTGTGATTAATTGTTTGGGATAAGCTAACCTCGAATGTTACCAGTTAAAAAATTTATGAAATGTCTAATAATTGTTAATACGTTTTTTAAAAAGTGTACGGTATCACTATCCTTTCCTAATTGGGGAAATTTAAGCTATTTTGATGTATTTATTTTGTTTCTTTAACCCTTGAATGTAATATTTTTATCTAGAAGAGTGGAAATACAATGGTGATTCAACGAAACATAGAGAATTGTTTGAAAAATTGATTGAATATGGACGCAATCCCAGTGTTGAGGTTAAAGTTGTGGGCAATGTACGTGTAATTTTCTCAGACGAATTTTGCATTGGCGAAGGAAGTAATGCAACCCGTGTTTATCTTGGACTGGGTAAGGATGGTTTCGGTAAAGCAGTCAAACGAATACATCGAGATAGCTTTATCCAGCTTGCAGTGCAAGAGCAGAAAATTTTGAATGATATTAAAGCAAAAAAGTCGAAATATGTTGTGAATTATTTCGACTTAGACAAAGATAATGGAACGGATTATGTTTATTTGATCTTAGACTTATGTGAAGAATCATTGGAGAGTTTTGTCCATTCTTCTACTTTGCATGATCTTCAAAAAGCTCTTCCTGATATTCTTAGACAAATTTTAAAAGGATTAGCTGATCTTCATAGCGGCCCAAATCGTATTCTACATCGGGATTTAAAGCCTTCCAATGTTCTGCGAGACTCAAAAAGCGAATTTCTGATAGCTGACTTTGGCATAAGTCGAATAATGAAGAATGACGCTACAACATATAAAAGCAATTCTTCCATGGGAACCTTGCATTGGATAGCTCCTGAATCATATCGCGAAGATGATGATTTAATAAACAAAGCGCATTACAAAAGAAAGTCTGATGTATATGTAAGTGTAGGAATGTAAACATTTGTAAGTTGTACTAAAACTCAATGTTGTGAAAATGCATTTTGATGTAACGCTTTTTATTGTTTTAGAATGCAGGGATGGTAGCTTATTATGTTGCAACAAAAGGAAAACATCCTTTTGGAATTCAACGCTATAGACTGGACAACATGCTGAAAGGAGACCCTGTTGGTTTGAAAGAAATCAAGGATGAAACACTAAAGGACCTTCTGTCGTGGATGTTAAATATAAAACCTGAAGACAGACCATATTCTAACGAAGCATTAAAGCACCCATTTCTCATGTCAGATGATGAGAAGTTTGAAATGTTATGTGAAGTTGGGAATCTTCATCAGATTGAGACAAATGATCTCCAGTCAAGTGTCGTTCAACAATTGAATAGCGAATGCGTACTTTGGAAAAGTCTACTTAATTGGGATGTCTATGATTATTTTCGCACGTACGTGAAAAATGGAAAAATCAATAAGGTCCCTTATACATCTTCATGGGCAAAATGCGTGAGGCTCATTCGAAATACTCGCCAGCATTGGAACAATCAAGAACGACCTCTACCACAACCAGAACCATTTTATATAATTGGAGACTACAAGGCGTATTTTCTCCGAACAATTCCTAATCTCCCTGTTCGGGTACATGCAGCTGTGAGGTCAAGTGAAGAATTGAAAAAAGAAAGAGAACTCAAGAAGTTTTTTCCTTTTAATGAAAGCGAACCACATCAATAAACAATTTAGATACAACAAAACCTGTTGGGGGTGAAAAAGTAGCTACTAAGAAATCATTGATACTGTAAAGATCTTATTTTACAGATATAAAGAAAAACAGTTTCCAAGACGTATTTAGATGACATTTCACCACATTTCTGCTTAATCTATAGCCTGTGGTATTCATTTATACAATGTAATATACCTGATTATTTAATTTTTACTGTAAATTGTTTTGGAAAAAGAATGAAGGCGAATATGACATTAAAAGTTAACTTTTATGTTTAGCTGCACTGATAAATTTTGCACTACATTCATCCAACATAATAAACTTGTATACGATAAAAAATTGTATTTCTGAAATTATTATAATTACTAAAAGTCTGGCATTGGTGTTTTGAGCTCTTGGGAGTTCTTTATCGTATAAACCTGAACATCAGGAGTTGTGCATAATTCCATAAGTAGAATCTTTATGTTTTACTATCTCACATTAATTACGTAGCTGAACCATATAAAATAGTTGAATTAAATAACATTTTCATGAGATTGAGTGATTGACAGGATTTTGTCTGATTATTTGTAAATGGACTCAATAATATTTTAATTAGTTTTATAGAAAAATATTCATAGTCTTCCTCATTTTCTGATATTTTGCTTATTTCATGCGCTGTAACCATGACAATTATTTTATGCCTAAATCCGCACAACTAAAATGCAAGTGCTATATCTTTAAGATTTCTTAAATGAATATTGAATATACACCTAAATGCACGTAACGTTAACTACGACGCTCTGTATTGCCTATATTCTAAAAACTCTCTCATACTCACATTTACTCAGTAAAGTTTCAAATAATCTTATAACTGCTGGAAAACCTTGTATTTACTCCACAGATAGAAAATAGTGCAAAGTTATGTTCATTTTATCATCTCAGATCCTATATTATCTGGTAGGTATCCACACATTTATGTCACATGAAAACACTCAGTAATAGTTGTTTGATAGTTTTAGTTTAAAGTTTTTTAAATCATTTATATAAATTTTGAGCTTTTGGGCTTTTTTATTTCATTGAATTAACTTCGCAAATGGCATACTATAACAACAAAAGAACGTAAATAACTTCTAAATGACAAAGGACAATGCTACAACTTTCTCCAGTTACTGCAGCCTTTTAAACACAACGTTGCAAACATTAAAAACAACACGATTTATATAATGTATAATAAATGCGAAAGATTTATCTTGAATTGACGAAGGCTGACATTTTTGCCTCTTAAGTTGTTTGGATTTATTCTAGAGTGTACTGCATCTATTTCATTAAGATTTTTGAAATGTTCTTATTTTACAATGATTTGTAACATATGAAAGCTAGATTTTCTTGATTGTACAACCGTGTTTGACTTTGGCAGCGAGGATTGGCTTGTAATAGTAACTAATCTTCACAAGACTATAAATTATTTTGTTTTCGTTTACAAACCAAATAGTATGCTTTTTTAAGAGCCTATGGCACGAAAATTTTTATGTTTGCAATGACCAGAACTTTTAAAATGACAGTGTACTTTCTAAAACAGTTTATGCAGATCACTTTTAATTCTTGAGATATTGAGATTTATGCTATGTCCGATTCATCTAACTTGTGACGTCACATTGCATAATGAGAGTTAGGAGTATTAGGTATATTTAACGATACTTTACTTCACAAGGACATAGTTCCCTTTGTTGTGGCGTGCTTAATGGTATAAAATGCTGCCTATTAGTATCAACCGAAAGTTGTCAGGAAAATGAAGAGTATTAGAAAAATTTTTATTAGGAAAAGAGATAATCATTAATTGTTTTAGAAAGTACACTGTCATTTTAAAAGTTCTGGTGATTGCAAACATAAAAATTTTCATGTCATGGGCACATTAAACGTCATAAGTAATTGTACATTTCCAAGTATAACATTGGCTGAATTGTAAAGGATATTTTATACCATTTAGTAAATATGTATGCTTTATAACTTATGAAGCGGTAGATAAAGCTGATAAACCACCCGCTGAAATTCACTATCCACCAGCTAGAGGATCATCTTTCACTTGAGGGAAACGAATGTAAATTATAATCCCATTTACCCTGAAAATTTGATGGAAGTGTCAATAACCATTATGAACATTTTTAGAAAGCCAAAATTTCATTCAATCAAATTGAAGCATTCGTATGTACTATTATATGTCATGAAAAATGGCTATTCTTTTCTACACATAAACTACATAAAAAGAAAAAAATCATTTTCTTTACTTTAAAGACTTCTTCCGAGTGAATGAATTTCAAAAAAATTTGTTTTCAGACTGAACCACATACATTTGCCAATAAAATTATAACTGAGAACATAATTATTTTAAATATAGGTATAGCCATAAATGCCTTTCCTATGACAATGTGTTGCCTGATTCTTCTTTTTGTTCAATGATATCTTGTTCAATGAATAGATATTCTACACAAAGAGCAAAGCTGACCTTGACCCATTCTATTCCTCAAATAGCTTTTTACCCTTTTGAAGCAAGAAAACGACCACTCTACTGAAGCATTTGCCACTACCAAGACACCATTCAATTTTAACAAATTTACCGCTTGACGTAAACTCGACTGAAGATTAAAATTTGTAGATGTATTTCAGCACCTCATTGCTGCACTCTTTGTGAAAGTCCTTGTCATTGTAAATAAAGGAAAGTTGACTCTCTAAAGTAGGAATGTCAAAAAGAGGACAATATTTATCTTTGAGAAGATTGATCTTCTCCTGTAGAATTATGCCGTTCCATGTAGTAAATAGTTTAAGATTTACAAGATATAAAAACTCGAACTGATTAATATCTTGAAATCGTTCACTTAAAGTGTATATAAAGCTTATGGGATTTTTTTATATACTGAATTAACGTGGTGTAAAACGTTATACCAATTTTTTTCTTCGTTGGACAAATAGTTCTCGTGCTACACTCAATTAAAATCATAAAAAAACTGGCCATTTGAGTCGCTTGGTTTCCTGGTAATAGACTGGAACTACGCGGTCATTTAAGGAAAGCGTGACGTCATGTAAGTAACATTTCAGCGTTTGATATGCCTAATCGCTGTATAGTTGCTGGCTATTCTTGCGTTCCTTGCCCGGAAAAGGTCATAGGACTTTACCGCATTTCTTTTTATGGATCAGAACATCCTATAAAATAGAAAAGGAGGGAAAAGTGGCTAGATTTTGTCGCTTTAAAGCGAGCAAAGTGCCCCATATCAAAGATGTCGAGCATTTGCTCGCTTCACCACATGAAGATTTGGCCCTTACTAGTTTGCAAGGGGAAACAAGTAGACTGGTGTCTGTCGAAGTTGGTGTGTTCGCTTTTTTTTTCTGTTCTTTCTCAGAAAGACTGATGAAAGAAAGTGCGCCTTCTGAAAGGAATCGTAGACAGGTAAGGATTTTTGTTTTGAATCCTATATATAATCCGCGTGAGACTGATAAATTCGAAGAAGGAAGCTTGTTTTAAATTCGTCAAAGATTTTGTGATGGAAATTTAATTTTTGCAGTTGATACCATATTTTTTCATTACATTCAATTTGGTTTCTTTAAGAGCATATAGTCTTGTAGTGTCTTTATGTCATTTAAATAGATATATGGCTGCAATTAAATTACTAAAATATGAGTATTGTAACACCTGTGTATATCATGATTTCATAGAAAAAAAGAAATTACGTAAACTGGTTGGAACAGTAGTAAAATGTGTCAAGGTGGATAATAAGAATGAGGAAGAAAAGCAAGATAATAGTGATGAGGATAGCATGAATATGGATATTGACATTGGTAGTGAGATGGAAAATGAAGGTGAAGTTTGATTTCAATGCTAATAGCTGAAATTATATACCACAAATTTTATTAACATATAAATATGGTCCATAGGTTCTGACAACTATGACATTGAAACAGATTCTTCCCAAAGTGAAGAGCTAGAATCTGAAGATGAAACAAACCAGTCAAAAGAGTATGAATGTGCTGTACGTATGCATTATTTAGTCTTCCAGTGTTATCAATCAGTTTATTTGTGTCTCTCAACAGACAAAATAAAATATATACATGTATTGTTCTAACAATAAAGGTGAACAAAGAAGAAAGCAACCTCAGGAAGCAACCAAAGTTTATTGTCACCTTGCCACAGCTGTTGCTCCTGTTTAAAGTATACCCATCATGTGGTACTGATCAGCCAATAGTTGAAGTATCAAAAGTTGGTACTATGGTAGATATAAACATGTCATGTGGCAACCTTAGTTGTAAAAATAGAGAGCACAACTGGAAGTGACAATTATTCCTGTCAGGTTCCCGTATTCCAATGGGAAACTTTCTCCTCTCATTTGACATTTTATTGTCTGGAGCTTCTACTAGCAAGGTACTTTGATTATTCACACACATGGGTCTTTAAGGCATATCTTTGACCACATTCTTTAAACATCAAAGGGTAAGTGGGTTGTTTTGATTTTCCTGATTACCAAAGTTTGAAGTTGTGTTTTTTTATATTCATTTGATATTTCTTTATCAGCAATTGCTTTTCCCAATGGTCAGGATCCATAGGAGGAAATACAAGCTGGCCATGTTGGAAACAATTAAGAAGCAGAAGAAAACAGTGGTCATTGCAGGTGATGGCAGACATGACAGCTTGGGCCATTCTGAAAAATATTGTCCTTACACAATATTTTGTTGCTCTGCGTCCATGATTCTCCATTTTGAACTAATTCAAGTATGTCTTATTGACCTTCTTTGCATGACACATTGAGGGTGGTTATATTTACCCCACCCCCTTTTACAGCTTTTACAGTACCGCTCGCGTATTTGTTAACATAATTTTGCGTATGATACGCGAATCATACAAGTCGCTCTCGTATCATACGCGTATCGTTCTTGTATCATACGCGTATCGTTCTCGTATCATACGCGTATCGTTCTCGTATCATACGCGTATCGTTTTCGTATCATACGCTTATCGTTCTCGTATCATACGCGTATCGTTCTCGTATCATACGCCTATCGTTCTCGTATCATACGCGTATCATTCTCGTATCATACGCGTATCGTTCTCGTATCATACGCGTATCGTTCTCGTATCATACGCGTATCGTTCTCGTATCATACGCGTATCGTTCTCGTATCATACGCGTATCGTTCTCGTATCATACGCGTATCGTTCTCGTATCATAAAAGAGAACGATACCATATCTCTAAAGCTTACAATTGTTTGTGAGATGCGATACTTTTTAGTTTTTTTAATCATGTACGAAAATAAATGACGATAGAAGGAAAGGTATGCCTTGGGATTTATTCAGACTTATATCATATTATTATAAAAATTTATATTGTGATTACGATGCTCTACAAACATGGCCATTTGAAAAGAAGATCACAACGATGTTAATGGCTCAAGGAAATGGTGATCACATGCTTGATGCTTTTCATTCAGATCCTTAAAGTTCCTTATTTCAGGGACCAGAGTCTGATTTGAATTCATTTGGATTGCCAGTTCTAATTTCGCCGATAGAGAGCTTAAGCAATCTTCTGTTCATTAAAGAGAATACAATGTTTATTAAGTTAATAATTTAATGAACAAAAAATCTAAATACACTCGCTCCTGCTTCTCTACCTTAGACACTAAAAATATCTCAATTCTTCATCAATCTTAAATTATCTTTATACTTAGGCAAACGCAACCCGACCTAAATATGTTGCAAACAACTCTTCTAGCTCTTGCACGTAATTTTCAGTTGTCTATACAAAACACTATTTGTTGTAAAGCACTCAATAGTGTTTATATAAGTTTTTTCTTGTTTGCTTCTGGTCAGCATATCCACAGTAAAGGAATATACAACAGTAGGGCCACTTCCCTGTACCATTGGCTGCTGTATATTTAATTAGTTTATTGGCTGCCCTTTGCCATATCGTCAATCCTATTGGAACATGTAAGATGCGTAAATGCGGATCTGACGTAAGGACATAAAAAATCTGGGACACATCGCACCCCTGATTTGCCCAACTGTTTTCTTCCTATTTTGAGCTTTAACGTAAGTCAGGTCCGTTTAATTTTGTAGAAATGAAATGTAAGGGCTGTGTATTTAATGGCGAAGTAAGAAATTTATGGCAGAAATCAAAAGGTTTGGTTATAATCTTTGTTTTGTGAATGGTTTTACTATTCGCCACTAAAAGGTTTAACCTATAGTGGCAAATTTGTTCAAAAAGGATGGTCCCTGATATCTGTACTGTAAGGGTTAAATATGGAGGTTACATCATAAATGGATAATATAAAGTTATTAAAAGAACATGTACAACATCATACGTATGTGTGAACATTTACATTGGAAGATGAAAACTGACTACCTTCTATAATGACTTTCTTCTATGAAGATGAAAACAGGCAAATGCAAAAGAGAATGAAAAAACATGATCCAGGTTTTATAGAACTTAAATGAGTTCATAAGTGTTAAATTTTGTTTGCATTAATATGAGGTTATTATGAAGGATCACGGTGGTCTATTTTTACAATTTGAATAAAAACAAAAGAAATCATCTTTAAACTAGGATTTTGTAACCAAATCTTTTAATCTGTAGTTGTCAATATAAGGGACCACGTCTTGACCTCATTCAACGCGTTTAAATATAAAAATCGTTTTGAGTCTTACGATTTCTTTTGCGTTTTGATGTCGTTATGCAAAGTAACGATGCATGATGTTGTAGAGTAGGTTAGGATTCATTAGACCTTAATGAATTTAAAAACTAGACTTTAATTTTGACGAAATCTTCATTGAATCTTGCAGTCATGTATGGCTAAGTTAAGGTTCTGAGACTGGTTTAAAGGCGTTCTGATTGACGTCACCAATATCTTCTAGCCCAAAATTATAATATTAGCGTTATTTAATGTGCTGAATAATTTAATTAATAAACAATTGACGCAATATCGCTGAAAAATGGTCAATTGTTACCAGCATTCACTTATATTAATGAAGGGAGAGCATGGTTCTTTTGTTTGGCAACAATACGTTTTATTTTTAAAAATTAGATTTTATAGTTATCCGGTAATTTGTTCCAGTACAAACAATGAATTTTAACCCTATAGAGACCGTTGTTGCTCACAGGCAACAATCACCAAACGAGATGTGTAAGAACTTTTGAAAAGGCACGGCTCCCAAAGGGTTAAACAATCATGCGGAACAAATACATATAATGACATGCTTAACACTATTTATAAAGATACCTTTCACTTCAAGCCACATATAAACCACGAGGCGTCATGGAAGGCAGATGTTGTTCATAGGAGATGGAACAAGACTTTACAAATAGATGACAAGTATAAAGATTAGTGATTGTGTCAAGCAAAATAAAGTTGTTGCCTTCAACTCTCCTCGAAGACAAGTTACCAAAACACGTCTCAATTGATTACAGATGTACTTAAACGTGTTGATAAAAAATCAAGACCGCCAATATCTGAATGCTCCTGAACAAGGAAATACCACACACATTTAAACATTTGAATGCCACGATGTACAGATATATACTATCAGTATCACATCCTAAATGTTGATAGCAGCAGCAAAAAGAAATTTGAAAGAGGAAAACCGTTATGAAATATGATACACACGAAGTTACCTGTTTCAAAATCATGTATGAAAATAGATCCGACGGCTGGAAACTACAAATGTAAGTGACTAAACTGACGATAAATGATATTTTGTATTTGAATTTATCTCTATTGCTCTTGTGAAACTCTCAATGCATAGAAGAGCAGTTTTCATAGATTAAGGTGTAGACTTGCAATGAACGAGAGCCGTAATTGTTTTTTGCTCATTTTCTACGATTCTCTACTATATTTTTAGTAGTAGAACCTCGGGGAAAACAGAATGCCCTTAAATTCTCTCCTAAAATTAACTTAGCAACATATGATTGAAGATTCAATGAATATTTGGACAAGATTAAAGTCTAGTTTATAAATTCATTATCGTCTCATGAATCTTAACCTACAACATATTGCATCTTTGCTTTGCATACCGACATTAAAACGCAAAAAAAGATTGTAGACTCTAATGAATTTTTTGTTCAAATACGTAGAAGGATTACTTAATGTCTTACTGAAAAGTGAAAAGCTCCTAAGGAGCCAATTACAAAAAAAATTTTAATCATGACGTAAATTAAGCAAATGTTAACAACAAGAACTTAGTCACTTAAACGTTGTAGAAAGAAAGGTGAATTTTGTCTTTTTATTGACGGATTACTGAAGTATGAGTTGCATGGAATAATCAACTAGTCTTAATGGTAGGCCTCGTAATATGGAAGCTTTCAGTGTAAAATGCTTTGATAACGATGTTAAGCCTTTGATCGTTTGAAACTTGTTACATCTTTCAAACTTAACCAACTAAAGCTATTCGTTCAATGTTGGTGAATGTTCTAGCATTTGGATAGTCAAACAGAAAACATATAACAATTTGCTCATTCTCAATATATCTGATTAAGAATTTAAAAACGCAAAGTAACGTCATATGAAGAGTTCTTCAGCACGAAATGTCGTACATGTGTTTCATATTTTCTTATATTGTAGATCCCACATGGATGGAGTTGTGAAAGTCCCTTAACCACCTGTGTCATTCACTTCAATTACCCTTACTAGTTTGTCATTACTCATGTGTCATGGTGATTCATGGCCAAGAATGTTCATTTGTAGTTTGGATTCTTTGTGGATGTCAGTTGTTTGTTCATATAATGATGATGGGCCCCATTGTTATATGAGCCCACCTTAGGTGGTCAGCTGACATTCATAGAAGATCAAATCTGCACTAAGCATTCTTTGAGTGATGATATAACTGGGGTATTGAAGTGATCCCTTTTCCTTCACTTGAAGTTACCATAAGAGTGCATTGTAAACAGTAATCTATCGAAATGGTAATTCATAATACCAGTAGCCCCTTTATTGGTTACGTCGATTACTTTGTGTCATCATCATCATCATGCAGTCAGTCGTAAACGACGAGGACTGTTCTATGGTTGGATTGAAGCTCTCCAGGCCGGTCTGTTATCAGCCAGTTGCTTCCAGGTTGTCACGTTGATGTCTCTCCTCTTTAGATTTCGTTTCATGACATCTTTGAGTCTGAGTCGAGGTCGGCCTTGGTTTCGTTTCCCTTCTACTAGTTGGCTGTACAATAGCTGGCGTGGTAAACGAGATCTCTCCATACGATGGACATGACCAATCCATCTTAAATTCTTTTGAATCAGCATGTCAGCCATGTGTGGCAGGTCAGTCAGACGGAGAATCTTAGCATTTGCGATCTTGTCCCGCCATGATATCTTCAGAATGTCCCGCAGTTGTCTCATCATATACGCGAGTGGAAAAACATGATCTATGTCTTGTGGTTTGTAAGTTGAGTAGATAAGTATTAAAATTAACTTATAGCTATGAGTAACGGCTTGGGATATATTCAAAAAGGATCCCGATGTTCTATTTTTATAATTTGAACTATAACCATGAAAAACACTTAAATTAATTAAAAAAAATGTCAATGAAAGATGTCAATTGCTGTGAGAAAATAGCTGGCTTTCACTCGCTACTTTTATTAATTTTATTAAACGTTTATAAACAAAATTGCAATGCTGCAAGAAGGGTTCATTGAATTTTTAAGATAAAAATGTTACGATATACACGTTACGATAAACTCGTAAAAACTGCGCTGTAAAAAAAGTGGAAGAGACCCACTAAGACGCCTGGATCCGTCGGAGCAGGACAATGCTAGAAAATCAGGTATTAAAGTTTTGTTCTTTTCAAAATATATAATTTCTGTTCTTATTCATTCATTATGCTGACATTTATTATGTGTTTTTTTATAGAGTAGCTATGTCTGTAGACGTAATAACTAGACATTGAATGAACGATCAAGTTGGACAGAAGCACGAAGAAACAAGCGTCCTTATTGAAAGATTCCCACTTGCGACTTTCGTTATGCATACCATTAATCAGTATAACGAATTTTTAAATTCAACCGTTAAAAATTTCCGTAAAACTAAATTTTCACAATTGTTAAATTTTCGGACAAAACACACGAGTGAAAGCCAGCTATTAATGAAGGTCTTAATAAAGCGACATAGAAATTTTGATCGAATAAAATTTAGTAGACATCAAAAATAATTTGTATGCAAGTCACGACATCCCTTTAGTCATTTCATTTTTCATATATATTGGTAGGTGAATGATCAGGTCGAACGTACTGAATAAATTTTTTATATCATTTATGTATGAGCTGCTATTAGTTTTTATTTTTTCGTCTGTTCATTAAAATTTTTATTAACACTCAAATTTTTGTTCTCTACTAAAGTTTTCGTTTCTTTTGTTCAAACCCAAAATATTTGTGGTGTCAATAAATAGCGTAGTCGGCCGAATTTTTTGTCGCCGCTTTTTTGTCGACGCTTTTTTTGTCGCTTTGTGAATTTAAGATACGAACGACGAAGCTACGATCTGACTACGCTGCATGTTAAAGTAGATCATCGGGATCATTGAAAACAACAAAAATATGAAACATCTTGAAAACAACAAAAATTTAAAGAAATTTTTCTAAATTTTGATCATTTTATTTATTGGAAGGTTTTTTACCGGATCCACCGGTTTTCCCTCCCATTTCGTTTTGTTTTGGAAAAAAAACAGTGTCCATATTTAGGGCCAAGCGAAGTCATTTGTCATAACATTATTTATTGTAGCTATCATGAATATTCACATTTATTTTTTATTTCTTGGCCTTTGGGTATATTTCCCAAAACACTGCGTTTAATAAATATAATGGCCTACATTTTGAAAAAAATATGTACACAAGTTTTCTGCTCAGTCAGATCTTCTAAGACAAATTTTTTTATTCTTCTTCATCAACCGACTCAGCGAGAAAATAAAGATGATTTTATACAGTATGGTGGTGTGATTTGCGTACATCATGAAAATTCCATGATTCTTTTATTTCACTAAGAAGTCTTTTTTACTTAAAATATTGCTTTAAACATGAGCAATGTGACGAATTTTTACATTACTGACGGTAATACGCTTAGCACAATAATATTAGCACACACCATTCGACAATTTTCTCCCCTACCATGAAGTGAGATGTTTTATGCCTATATCAAATACATTCCCAATGATATAGAGAGAAATGATAACACGAAATACACAGAGATTAATCTTGATAATAGATAGTTAGAGATTGAGATTTTTAAACTACAATGTGCTTCTCAGCGTCACTGCACATCTGAGACTTGCATTATCTTAATGACTATTTTCATTGCATCCTTTACTGTTGTATCGACAGTGTTCTTTCTCATAGCTAAGTAATTATAATGCATGCAGTTGATGTTTGAAATGTATTCGTAAGTTACAATGGTTTATTCAATAATAAAGGTTCTTTATAATAAGAACTGACTTATGCAAGAATATACATTTATGGAATTTTTGATTAAGCAAGGGGAAAAAATCCATTCACAGTTTCGAAAATCGTGTCTTAATCATTTGCATTCAAATCTTGTCTTAGATAAGTGATTCTCTATTCCTGAGTTAAAACTTGTGAAACTTTATAAGATTTAGCAGTAGTCCCTTGGAATTTGACTAATCTCAATGTTATTATGTACTCTGCATGAGATTCTTATTTATGTATTTTTATTTCCATAACAATTGTTTTTAGTCAGTGATGTATACTTAGTTATATAACTAGAATGTTCTACATAGATGTCATTAATGTTTTATAATACGGTTTGCTGAAGGAGATTCTGACTCACTCTTCATCTTGGTTCGTTATTTAAATGTGTTTATGTAACAAAACTTACATGAATACAAGATTGATGTAACAGTAAGGTATGAATTATGATCATCATTTTTTAACTGATATGTATGTGGTCGCGTTCTTTATATTAAATCTGTCGTCTTTGTAAAGTATGTCACATGTAAAGAACTAAAGCAAGCATAATTTTGTCTTCACGGTCGTCATATATGAAGTCTTATTGCTAAAACGAAGTTAATTTGTCCAAAGTAAAGGGAGTTTCTAAAACTATATTACTTGACATAACAAATTTGCTATGAAACTTTACATAACATGTATATAATGTATGACAAAACATTCAAGAGAAATTATATTGATATAATTATAAGTTGATATACCAACTTTCTAACTATTGACAATAAGCTGCATGGTAAAGTACAGTAAAACCTGTTCAAAAGTATGGTGTAGGCAGAATAATATAAGAACATTTTCTACATGTAGGACGCTGAATTTTTCTTTAGAAACTATACTTGTCGATGCAAAATGGGGGATCTGTAAAAATTTATTTAGGGAGGGGCACATGTCCAATCATGCATCACCTCCCTTCTTTGCTGACGCCAATTTTGACTAATCTTTGTGTGTCTAGCAAAATGTTGTTGATTGTATTGAGCAAATTACTCATTTTAAAAGTAAGAACATTTGTAAAATAAGCAAATGTTGAACACAGGAAGAATGTATTTACTCAGAGAAAGAGTGAATACAAAAGTAAAGCGAGATTTTATATCTACATTACCGACTTAACAAATTAGCTAAAGAAACATCTAGATGAAGTATGAATAAACATGCATGGGAAATCGTATCTAAGTTGATATACCAATTTTTTAACTATTGACAATAAGCTGGATGGTAAAGGACAGTAAAACCTGTTCAAAAGTATGGGGAAAAGCAGAATAACATGACAACATTTTCTTTATGTATGATGCTGCCTTTTTCTTTATAAACTGTAACTAACACTAGTGCCAGTCCCCAAGAATCGAAACAATATTTTTATTAATGTAAACTTACGAACGCGTAAAGTATCAGTACTTCTAACCGTTTATGGAAAATATACGAATCATTGCGATCTGGATATAAACGTGAACAATCGGTAATAATACTTTACTTATATTCTGTTGTTTTGTTTGTTGTTTGTTCATTTTCTATCTAGTTGTAAGTACATTTTCTGTATGTATCTAGTTAACATCTACTGTCAATAATACCAAACGTTGCTTGCGGATACCAGAAATTTTATGCTGCGGGAGTTATACAAAATATACTTGTCCATAGAAAAAATGGGAATACGTGAAAATTTATGTAGAAGGGGTAGAACATGTCCAATTATGCATCACCTCCCTTCTTTGCCGACGCCACTTTTGACTAAACTCTGTGTGTCTTGAAAAAGGTTGATGATTGTATTGAACAAACCATTTATGTTGAAAGTAAGGAAATTAGAAAATAAAGCAAATGTTACAAACAGAATGAATGTATATATACACACAGAGGAACAACGCGACTGAATCTACTTTTTGTGAAATGTTGATTCATACAACAAAGTGAGCTTTCACAATTTTGTTTATGATCATGTTTGTTTAACATTTTTAAGGTTTACTTCGATTATGTCAAAAATACATTTTCTGTATGTATCTAGTAGACATATACTGTCAATAATACCAAAAAATGCGTGTGGGTGCCAGAACTTTTATTTTGCGAGAGTTATACAAACTATACTTGTCTATAGAAAAATGGGAGTACGTAAAAATTTATGTTGAGGGGAACATGTCCAATTCGAAAATTAAACGAGACTTACCTGAAGTCGAAGCTTAATTGAAATTCTATGAGTTACTGTTCAGGAACTAGGAAGTCATGTGAGATAGAGCGCGCGATATCAAGATCAGTTTTTAAAAAATTTGTGAATGTCTTTATACATATTGGGAGGCAAGTAGCATTTAAAATCATTTGAAAAGAAGTAAGTTATTAGTTGGGTGTGTGACTTCCGAGTTCCTGAACAGTAACTCATAGAATTTCAATCAAACTTTGACTTCAGGTAAGTCTCGTTTAATTTTCTAATTCTATTTCGTCACTGTTCTACGTCACTAGGTAGTCATGTGAGATTTTAAAACAATGTGGATATGAGCAATAAGTAATAACAAAATACAATAATTGAAATTTCACATTTCATGTCTCACAAATGGCAGAAAGTAGATCATTTCCAAAGTTCTTCGCCTCAATTAGCATATTATAAAATGTTTGAAAAGTTTGTTCATTACGCCATGTAGCTGCATTCATAATAGTGTCCAAAGAAATATTCAATGCGTTTGCCGCAGAAGTTTATGCAGTTCTAGTACTGTGTGCACTGCAAACCTCTGTATTTATAGCAGCATCTTTTAACACGTATTTTAACCATCGGGAAATGGTCGCTGAAGTGACAGAATGATAAGGTTTTTAATAGCTCATTAGGAGTTCTCTTGCACCATTTCGTATAGGTGCAGTGGAATTTAGAAATAGGGACAATAATTAAATACGCATAACCCAAGCTCTGGTCGATAAAACCGAAATCCTAATGGAGCAGCATGCTTACCAGGTTTAGATGTTTTGAGCAGTCGGTACACATGAAAAACTATTCGATTTTTTTTCTTCTCCATATGAGAAATATCTAATGCATGAAGTGTTTGCCATCGTTGACCAGATAATAAAGCTAAAAGCATTACACTTTTTATTGTTAATGATTTCAAACTGAGATCTTTCGGATAGTGGAGATTTCGAAGATGTTTGAATGCCATTGAAACATCCAGACAATGGCATATCTAGGAAAAGCTGGTCTTGCAACAAATACACCTTTAACAAACCTAACAACAAGCGGATGTCTACCAAACGAGATGCCACTTGGTAGCATTACGATAGTATATAAGGCGCTCCATACAGTATTAATACCGCTGTAGGATAAACCTTCCTGGTATAATATTGTAAGAAAATTAATGCCCTCTTCTACAGAGGATGCGAAAGGATCGATATTGTTTGCGTTGCAATATTGTCGCCAACGGTTAAGGTATGTGGAATATTGCTTGTTGGTAAGATTGCTGGATGACTTGAGAAGCCTCTGGTGAAATGCCTCTGTCAGAGAGGAGTTCCCCGATAAATGGCAAAGTAGTATCTCCAGTTTTGTATATAGAGGGTGGATTTGATCCGGATGACCTGAAAGAGTTAAAGTCATTCTTCCTCTAGGTATAACAAAAGGATGTGCTATTAGCATCTGCATTAAAGCTGGCCACCAACTTTGTGTTGGCCAGTTAGGGACTAAGACTAGTCCTGTGCTTTTATCTTGTACTATTTTTTGTAACACTTGCGAAATTATGCTAAAAGGCGGGAACGCATAAAAAGTATAATTTGCCCACGATATCGTAAAGGCGTTGACAGATATAGTATACGGTCAGGTTGGTTTGAAACATAGGGTTTCACTTGATTATTCAACCTTGACGCAAACAAATCAAGGTACGGAGTTACGTCTAGTTTTTGAATGGCGCACGTAAACAGAGTCAAGTTCAACTGCCATTTTGTTTCTCTGCGTGATATTTGAGATTCTCGATCAGCAGTGACATTTTGTTATCCTGGAATGTGCGCTGCTGTCAACCAAATATCATACGAAATGCAGCAGGTCCAGACATTGCATGTCAACTTGTGAATAGACCTTGAGTGGCATGTGCCCATTTGGTTAATTCAAGCTACAGCGGTAGTATTATCAATTAATACCTTAACATGCTGACCTTTTTGTTCTGAAGAAAACGATTCAAGGGCAAACAATACCGCAAGAATTTCCAAATAATTTATGTGATTTGAAGCCTCCAAGGGCGTACAGCTATCCCCTGCACATACACCATTTAGGGAGCAGCCCCACCTGTCAACGACGCATCTGTTGTTAGGCATATGCTGGGTTCATTGTGAGTAATTTGCCTGTAAGTCTTACATATTGATGACTGCCACCATCGTAAATCATGTATGGCCTCTGAACACAGGGTAATTGTCTTGTCAAAATTACCCCGGTATAACTTAAACGCATTGCTTTTATCCATTTCCAGCCTGTGATAACGGAACTGACCGTACATTACGCCCTGGAGACTCGAAGTGAGAGTGCTCAAAGCTCGAGAAACATCGCTTATTTTTGGGTGAGAAGCTTTTAGCAGCTCATGACACATGCGTTTTATCTTCTCAGCTCGTTCCGTCGTCACAGATATTCGCATAAGAGCTGAGTTGAGTCGGAAACCCAAATAAGTAATTAATTGTGAGGGAACTAAAACTGACTTATCCGGATGTACGTAAACCCCCCCCCCCTTCACTAAATAAGCAGATGGTATCTCGAATATTCCGAAAACATGAAGCATATGTGTCGTTTGTCAGCCAAGTATCATCAATAAATCCAACGAAAATATGTCCTTTTTGACGTAAATTTGAAAAATCAGGTTTGAGGAGTTTTGTAAATTTTCGTGGGCAGATGGCTAGGCCGTTAGGAAAACAGACAAATTTATATAGTTTCCCTCTCCACCAAAATTTGAGGAATTTTTGATATGCTGGGTGAATAGGTACGGAATAGTAAGCATGTTTGAGATCGATGGATGCCATGAAACAATTTGGTTTCATAATCCTAATAGCTGACCAAACACACTCCATTATAAAATGGCGATATCTGACATGCCTGTTTAAGGGCTTCAGATTAAGAATCATGCGAAAAGAACCGTCTTTTTTGGGGCAAGTGAAAAATGGAGATACAAATTCCCCTGATTCAGGGTGAGAAATCTGCAAAACGCCTTTTTTGCGTAATTTGTTTATTTCTAAATCAATATTGTTCATTTAAACCCCGGGTAGCTGCATTTGCTTGGGTAAAGCTCTTTGAATTGGAATTGTGTCAAATTCAATTTTTTGTCCAGACACTGCCTCTAAGATTTCCTTATCAGAGGTGAGTGTTTCCCATGCTCTTAAAAAATTTGATATGCTGCCAGCATGATAGGTCTCCAAGCTTTTGTTTAAATACGCTATTAGCGTGGGTACAAAAGAAGAATACTGGTTTACCTGTAAAGTCTTAAAATTTCTTAAAAATTCAGTGTTTTCTACTTGCGATCGTTCATTGTGTCCGATCGTTTCTTCTCGAATTGGTTCCTCTTCGACCGATAGGGGGCGTTTCCCTGATGACGAGATAAAAAAGGGTGCCATTGTCGTTTAAGTTGTTTGGAGTGTTGCTGCCAAGTGGTATTAGAAGAGCTTGTTGTCGCGTTGCCAATCTTGTTGGATGTGCGAATGTGATTAATTTGGGTTTGCAATTCATCTCCAAACAAATATTTCGTAAAGGGAGCATGTGATGCGCATAAAGTACTAAATTCTCTATTGGGACGTATAGCATCACGTCGTCGTTGAGACAATTCAAAACTTACATGTCCCAGGATCGCTATGATATCAGCGTTCATACGAACAAGATTATCAATATTCAGTTCGCAGCTGTTATTGCGGCAACGAACAGATCATTGGTGGTTTGTGCTGCTATATGACCGACATTCGTCAGAGCTGATTAAATGGCACTCTATTGTAAATCACGCCCTTTAGCTGTGCGGTCTAATTCCCCCCAAATTTCGGGGCTTACCTTAGGTACAATAAGGCGATGCAGTTCTTAGGTCTAAAATATTTAGCCTGTTTTTCCTTCAATTGCTCGTCGCTCAGCTTATTCAGCCAACGCTGGTTGATAATTGAGGCGAGCTTCTCGTTGACGATTGGTGAAATTTTTTCAGTTTCATCCAGAGTTTGCGAAATATCTTCCAGCAACGGGTCCATTGCTAGTTGTTCTGTTTCAGAATTGCTCTTGGTCGAAGGTTCTTCGTATAGTGCGAACAAGACTTCACAATCTGCATCATGCCCTGATTTAGGGATTAAAGCACTTGCTTTGCTTTTACGAGTAGATTCTACTGTAGAGGATACTGACGTTTAATGCATTAACATGAGTGATTCACTCATTGCAGTCATTGCTTCACTCATCCTACGAAGGGCGATTGCCACCTTCAAATTCTTTGATGTGACTTGCACTTCTTTGCTTTCTTCCATCATGTCATTTTGTTTATCGTGTTCAGCAAAACCCAGGAGTGCTGCTTCATCTCCGACATCATCTTTTGTGGTATACTCTTCACTTGTAGAAGCCATAATTCAAAAATTTGTAATATAATGTGGAAAAGAACTTTTTGTAACTGATCACTGTGAAATCTACGCTTGAACTTATCTTGATATCGCGCGCTCTATCTCACATGACTTCCCAGTGACGTAGAACAGTGACGAAATAGAATTATAGATTTATAGTGCCATTGTCGCACAACCTAACGTTCTGTTGTGCGGGATGCTAAATCACGATTCTTTTGACGACAAGCGTTGGTTTATTACCACGAATATTAAAATCAAAAAATGCTTATCCAATTCATCTCTTCAAGACTTCAACTCCATGCGTTACAATGCATTAATCAAATGCGTCGATAAAATGCGACCATTAAAATGCGTATTGAAACAACCGGAAACAGCGTTTGCAGCCTCTATATATACTAAACATTCAACAATATAAAATTACAAAGTTTCCTCTTTGCAACGATTGGAAAGAAGGTTTTCCTCAGCAACTCAATGCTTTAAACTTCCCATGACAAATGCATGTGCGTAATTTAACGTAAATAGTTCCCGTTTTACCATGCTCTTACTTCTTTAGTAATGTTCGTGTTTACAGAAAGAGAAAGATACTTCTCTTGTTTTTATTATTTATGAAAATTTCTTCCCGTATACTATTTTATACTGATAAGTTTTACATCGTCCATATTATTATTGATAAATTGATACAATTTACAACAAGCAGGTCACGTTGCCAGAAAAACTGTCTGTTGCTTAATTCTTTTGCTGTTTTTCAGTTTTTCCAATTTTTATGAGCACAAAACGGTTAAAACCACAAAAAATTCAACATAATTTATGTATTTTTTTAATGATCCTTTTATTCGTTTGAAAATAACTGACTCAAGTAATACCAACTATTGTCTGACTATAGCTACTGATCTTTGCTTTGGAAACTCAAACTTCGACGAGAAATGGCCATTTGGATCAATATTTGGATAAATTTTGGCCTATTTTCTATTCTAATAATTGGTGAGTAAAATTTTACAAAACATCAATTTTAAAACAATATTTAGATACTCTATATATTTTATCACAGATTTTACTAACGTTTTATAAATTTTAGTTGGCCGTTGATTTATTTAATTTTTAAATTTTGTTACTAATTTTTGTACCATTATTTTTTTTGGTGTTTAGTTTGAAGTTCAAACAAAGGCTTCACGATTAAAACCAAAGATTCTTCATTAAAGTAAGTCAGAGTATTCACAACATTATATTCTAAATAAATTTCTTGTTTGAAAATGGCTTCACCACCTGATAAACTGAAGATTGAGGCAAATGGATCTCGTTTAAGTAAACTTTTGATAAATAAAGGCACCCAAGCTTTGAAAACAACATTGCAATTTAGTTTTAACTTTCGATCATCAAGTTTGATCAATGAACTTAAAGATCTTTCAACAATGAATAAATTGACTTTGCTTAAAAACAAAAGGGTCATCAGTAAAGAGCAATGGGAGCTTCTTTACCCGTCAAATGGCTCATCACCTGACATTGAAAAATTTGACATCTCATTATTGACTGTCTTATTGAGAAATATATGTAGACTTGCACCGCCAAATGGTGGATGGGATAATCCTTCACCTTCAGATACCTCAATTTCAGCAAATATTGCAAGAATAAAGTATTATCGAAACAAAGTGTACGGTCACATAACAACAACTACTGTAGATGACAGTGAGTTTGAGCACTTGTGGAAGGAAATTTCAAAATCATTGGTTGCTCTGGGTATTCAACAAACCGAAATAGATGAAGCAAAGAAAGCTCCCCTCAGTCCTGATGATGTAGAAATGCTACAGGACAAAATATGCTCAGATCTTCAGAAGCTTAGAAAGTGTAATTTCAATGGTCTTTTAAAAGAGCTTAACAAGAAATACTTATTACGTACTAGACAATGGTTATTTGAAAAACTTGACAATTGGTTTACCGACAAAAACGAAGATGTTTCTAATGTCATGATTTTGATTGCCGGTCCTGGCGTTGGAAAAAGTGTGTTTGCTGCTGAGGTGTGTCGACGATATTCTGAAATAAAGAAACTTGCTGCTTCTCATTTCTGCAGATATAATAGATCAGATTATAGAAATCCTCGAGTATTGATAGAATCATTGGCTAGTAGCATGTGTGATACAATATCAAATTTTAAAAGTAAGCTGAAAGAAGAATTACAGAGAAACAATTCCAAAGAGTCGATCACCGATGCTTTCCTTGTTTTATTAAATAATCCATTGCATTCATTGGAGGATCATGAACCAATGCTTTTGGTGATTGATGCCTTAGATGAAAGCCAAGTTGATGGCAAAAGTGAACTGTTGGAATTGATTTCAGAAGAGTTTGACCGACTACCTAAATGGATTAAAATCTTCATCACCAGTCGTCCAGAACTTCCTGTTCGAAAGGAGTTGAAAGACATGAATCCTGTGGAAATTACAACTCGTCCTCGTGATAAAAACAACGAAGACGACCTGCACAAGTATTTGAGACATCAGTTAAATGATCGGGTGCCGAAAGATCCCTACGTTCTATCAACATTAGTTAATAAATGTGAGGGATCATTTCTTTATGCTTATCACGCACAACTGAGCTTAAAGAAAGAAAATGTTGAATTTACTGAAAAAAACATTCAACAATTGGTCCCTAGTGGGTTAAGCGGTGTTTACACAAAGCAATTCAAAAGAGTAGAAGAATTGTTAATGAAGGAAATTCCCAGAAATTCTGTTATCTTAGAAACTACTTTTATGCAATTTCTTGAATTGTTGGCTGCCTGTCGGGAGTTTTTACCATTAACTTTCCTGTTTAGCTATTTAGGTTTTTCTGGTGACATCAAGTTTGAAGTCAGCAGTAAGATCTTTGAACCTTTATCTCAAATTTTGCCAGTTTACGATGATTGTTTAACCGTGTATCACAAATCTCTAATTGATTGGTTAAAATCAGATGGTTATGAAGAGCATGAGTTTACAGTTAATCCAAAAAATGGTCATAAGTTCTTATGGCATGCTTGTAAGAAAGTGTTTGAGCAAATTAAGAAGATGAACATTTTTGAAGATCAGATGAACACTGCTAGGATTAAATATGCTTTAAAGAATGGAATCTATCATATGATAGAAAGTGGTGAATGTGTTGGCGTTAGGTGGGTCGTAGATGTCAAAGTGGTTTGTGCGAGGTTAATGTGTGTGAAAGACATTAACGTGAATACCATTTGGTCTGAATTGTTTAAAATCCTTCAGGAAGTACGACCTTTCTTAAAAAATAATGAACTTGTGGAACAACACATTCATTTGTTTCAGTTATTGAATTCGTTAGACAATGGCTTATTTTATTTACAAACTATTGCAAACAGCATTCATTGCAGTAACGAAAGTAGATTATTGGCAAGGGATTTATTGAGACAAGGAAAGTTTGTTTGGTTTGAGGATTTAGAATCAACATATCTAACAAACCATCATCATTTGACTGTCTCCTTACGTGCTAAAGTTACATCTCTTTGTGTATCGTCCAATGAAGAACTTCTTGCTGTAGGATTTAAAAATGATGAAATATCTATTTTTGAACTTCCAGAATTTTCAAAAAGATGCACTCTAGGCAACAACGCTCATTCCTTGTATGACAGCTATGTCTATCCAAAATTAGTGGACTTTTCACTTGAAATGATCCCTTTTTGCTCCTTTTCACCTACCGGAAATAGACTGGTAACTAGTGATAGATCAACTGAAGTAAAGTTGTGGGACGTTAACAATGGACGTTTGTTATCATGTTTACAGTCAGATAATGTCGTTAATCATTGCTCTTTCTCAGATTCTGGTTTGTTTATTACAGCAGATTATGTAAACGATTGTTTTCCTTTCCAACATCATGCAGAAGTGTTCACTGCATGGAATTCATTAACTTTGCAAAGAATCGATCGACGCCGCGTTGTTGATTACCAAAAACTACAATGCACCGATAAATATTCAGAGTTCTTTGTTGCAGAATTCGGCAGGACTTGGTGTGTTTTTCAATTCCCACTGGCAATTGATATTTTTTCTGATGAAGATTCAAAATTTCCAAATTTAATGATAACACACCATTATCGTGATTGTATTCTTTATCATACAAACCAGAATCGAAAGCTTTCTGTAATCACTCAGTTTACAAAATACAACAAGCAAGGGATAATCAAGTTTTGTTTACCAAAGGTTAGCTGTCCATGTTTAGATAGCTATTTTAGAAGAAAAGTCCATCCAATCTCGTTTAAGGAATTTTACGTTGTGCCGTATTTTTCCAAGCTTAAAATTTTCAAAACTGATCATCTTTGGAGACCTTCATTTATCTTTGAGAAGTTTGAAATTAAATGTTGTTGTTTTTCACCGGATGGATCTTTTTTTGCTGCTTTCGCTGTTGGTGACCACGTCAACATTCATATTTGGAGCATTGAACGTTGCACTATTATTCAAACTGTACCAATGCAACTGAAGAATGCATTAGGATGTTGGTGGTCAGATGGTTTACTGTGGATATGGGATGGTTCTGATCATCTTACGAAGATATCAACTTCGTCTGAAAATTTTGTAGATTCCACACACACGAAGCAGTTAAACATTGGATTTGAACCTGAAGAAATCTTATCATTTGGTGATGTCTTAGTTTGTATTAACAAAGAAAAGTTTGTTCAAGTTGTTAGAATGACCAAGGGTGAGATACAATACAACAAAAGACTTCCTGTCGATAGTTTTCAAATTAAAGCAGCAGCTGTATCACCTGATAATTCTGTTATTTTAACTTCAAACAAAACAGAATACACATTATGGAAATGGGGAAATAACAACAATGAACTTTTCTTGAAACCTTGGCATACTGCAGAATTACCCAAAACGTCTTTTATTGAAAAATTTGTTCAGAAAGAGAGAACTTTAACTCGTCTTAAAGTCCGTTGCTTTCTAAGTGATAGTAACCAAGCGGTCATTGCATTCTCTTTTCAAGACGGCTTTCACGACCGGAGAACTGGCATTTATGTAATTAATGTGCATAAAAACAATGACGTGAGTACGATTTGGCATAGTATCGATGAATTTTTATGGTCTAGCAGAATCGTACATAAATCATATTTCATTGGTCAATCTTTTGGCACATTGTATGTTGTAGATTTAAACAGTGGTGAAATATGCACTAAATTTGACGAAAAAGATCGTTTAAAGTCTATTATAACTATACATTCCAACACAGGAAATTTAGCTTTAGTAACATATGATGGATGCGGAATTAAATTTTTAAAACTCATTGTACCTAAATGAATCCACTAATTCAACCTTTTTTAGTTATATTAATCTATTGTATTTACTAACATTACATATCACTTAAAACGAACATAAAAAGTTCTTTATATCACAAAAGGACAGTTATTTATGGTATCAACAACGAACTCAAAAATATTGCAGAAAAAATTGTTCATATCCTTTGTTTTAACCGTGGAAAAACTGTCAGTTTTTATGTAAAAATATCACGAACAGAGAGAGAGAGAGATTAGTTTTTTGTGATGTCAAGTAAAGATCTTTTTCATCAAAATGATTCCCGTCAACTTTCAAATTTATATTTGGCGAATTGAACACTGTAACATTGTCAAAGTTGTGATAAAATTGAGAATATCACACGAAGATGTTGATTGTCGTAAGGATGGTCGCTTGTTTTACATGTGAAAATTACCAAAAGTGAGAAACTGAATGAACTTTATGTTGATGGTTTACTTTATGTTGTATGGTCTGATAATTTAGTTATTTTTATTATATATTAAACGTTCACTACATAGAAATGAAAGAATGTCGACAAGTCATTCATTGTGAGTCATTTGACAATATGGTGTTGTTGTAGATGAAGATTATTTTCTTTAAATTATACAGTGACTTTTTTTGAACATTCTTTCAAAAACTGTAAATAAAATTTACCTTACGCATGTTGACATCGGGGAAACAAGTTTTGTATGATGTTAAAAATTCACATTTATAAAACACCATCATGATGTCATGTCATGTCATTGGGTTTTATGGTCATTTATTGAAAAATGTGAGAGATCATTTCTGTAGGTTTATTATGTACAAATGACCTTAAAGACAGAAAATGTTATATACTGTCAACAATTCCCGTATGTAAAAATATCATGATGTCATGTCAATAACTGTGATGAAAATTAATGAATAAAGCTTTTACCATTTTGACACAAGTTCGTTTGAACCTAAGAATTGATTTTTTTTTATTAAAATATTGAAGAATGATAAACTTCACTTTCTATTTTTATTTTTTAAAATAGAATTTGTCATAATGCTGATGGACTATACCAGTCCCGAGAATAGCCTTGTCGAAACGTCAGTCAACCAGGCTCAGTTTGAGTCTGAGGATGACTACCGCTAAGTTTGTCGAAACGTCAGTCAACAACAACAAAAACAGTCCTTCTCGGGACTATACCAACCTGGACGATCTACGTTAACAAACATGTAACGATAATCCCGGGTTCAAACCATTTACTTTAAACTAACAGGTCTTGTTACAACCTTCGTAATGTGAAGGATTTTACTATTCGCGACTAAAAAGGTTAAATTTAGAGTGGGAAATATGTTCAGAATGCATGTCCATGACGTCTGTACTGTATTGGTTAATTATGGAGGTTAGACCATAAAAGGAATGATGTAAAGTTATTAAAAGAACATGTACAACGTCATACGTATGTATGAACATTTACATTGGACTATGAAGACTGACTATATTCTACAAAGATATAAAGTTATTAAAAGAACATGTACAACGTCATACATATGTATGAACATTTACATTAGACTATGAAACTGACTACATTCTACAAAGAAATAAAGTTATTAAAAGAACATGTACAACGTCATACGTATGTATGAACATTTACATTGGACTATGAAAACTGACTTTATTCTACAATGATATAAAGTTACTAAAAGAACATGTACAACGTCATACGTATGTATGAACATTTACATTGGACTATGAAAACTGACTTTATTCTACAAAGATATAAAGTTATTAAAAGAACATGTACAACGTCATACATATGTATGAACATTTACATTAGACTATGAAACTGACTACATTCTACAAAGAAATAAAGTTCTTAAAAGAACATGTACAACGTCATACATATGTATGAACATTTACATTAGACTATGAAACTGACTACATTCTACAAAGAAATAAAGTTCTTAAAAGAACATGTACAACGTCATACGTATGTATGAACATTTACATTGGACTATGAAAACTGACTTTATTCTACCATGATATAAAGTTATTAAAAGAACATGTACAACGTCATACGTATGTATGAACATTTACATTGGACTATAAAAACTGACTACATTCTACAAAGATATAAAGTTATTAAAAGAACATGTACAACGTCATACGTATGTATGAACATTTACATTGGACTATGAAAACTGACTTTATTCTTTAATGATATAAAGTTATTAAAAGAACATGTACAACGTCATATGTATGTATGAACATTTACATTGGACTATGAAAACTGACTTTATTCTACAATGATATAAATTTATTAAAAAAACATGTACAACGTCATACATATGTATGAACATTTACATTGGACTATAAAAACTGACTACATTCTACAAAGATATAAAGTTTTAAAAGAATATGTACAACATCATACATATGTATGAACATTTACATTGGACTATGAAAACTGACTACATTCTACAAAGATATAAAGTTATTAAAAGAGCATGTATAACGTCATACGTATGTATGAACATTTACATTGGACTATGAAAACTGACTACATTCTACAAAGATATAAAGATATTAAAAGAGCATGTATAACGTCATACGTATGTATGAACATTTACATTGGACTATGAAAACTGACTACATTCTACAAAGTTATAAAGTTATTAAAAGAACATGTACAACGTCATACGTATGTATGAACATTTACATTGGACTATGAAAACTGACTACATTCTACAATGATATAAAGTTATTAAAAGAACATGTACAACGTCATACGTATGTATGAACATTTACATTGGACTATGAAAACTGACTACATTCTATAAAGATATAAAGTTATTAAAAGAACATGTACAACGTCATACGTAAATATGAACATTTACATTGGATTATGAAAACTGACTACGGTCTACAATGATGGAAAAGAGGCAAATGCAAAAGAGGAGAGTGGAGAAACATGATCCAGGTTGTAAAGTTCGTAATTAGAGTTGGCAAGTTTTAAATTTAGTTTGCATGTGTATGAGGTTATTCTGAAGGATTACGGTGGTCTATTTTTACAATTTGAAGATAAATATAAACAATCATGTTTAAACTAGGATTTTGTGATTAAATCTTTCAATTTTTTGTTGTCAATATAAGAGGTTAAGTGCTGCAAGTAAATAGTTGGTTTTCACTCGTTTTTTTTTTACATGCATACTAAAATATTTCAGTTTCTAAAGAAAAATTACAACTCAATAATTAGAAAAATTACAACACAATAAATTTTAAAAAGCGTTCATTGAATTTCTAAGAGAAAAAAATGTCGCTAAGTAATTGCACGAAGCATAAAAACTTATGCGATCAACAAAAAAGCAAGAGACACCAAGTAACCAGAGTCAGATTGGAAAAGAAAAATTTTAAACTACGACGTTATTTGAAACTGAATCAAAGGTTTTACCAAAATCAAAGGAGATCACTCGAACGAAATCTGTATGCTTGTTCAACCATTTTAACCAAAGATACCGACGTCTGTAACCTTTACAACTTAACTAACATATATTACTGAAAGTACTTAACAAAAAACGGAAAATGCCAAATGAGAAATTAATTTAACCTAGTGCAGAGAAGCCTATACCTCCTCAAAGGAGCCTTTGTTAAAGCATATTATATCATTTCTTACATGAAGTACGACAACTCAATGTTTTCTGTTTCTAATTTGTTATTTTCATTTTTATTTGAGGGAGAAAATTTTCCTTCTTGTTTCAATGTAATAAACCATATTTAATCATTTCTACTTTGCTTGAAGTTTTCTCTTATGCCAAAGAAGACAAGTACCTCCAAAGTTTGAAAGCTTCTACCAAGGTATTTATATAAACAACTAATATTTGAAATATCATCGATCAATTTTCTATAAAAGCGATTGTGTTAAGTAGCGTAGTCAGTTCTCAAGTTTAGTCACGCTATGAAAATTTCGGAACTTTATGATCATTTATTTCTTTAGAAACCTTTTGTTTTCATTGAGAGTCTTTCACTGATCATCAGAAAGTTTAATAAAATCAATTGTGTTTTTTTAATGTACACCGTCAATGATTAAGGACATCAAAACTCAATGTTCTAAAGCTGTTCATCCGACATCACTATTTACTTAATAAAAACTTAAACTGTGTTTGCATTAGCCTGTACAAACGTGCATATCTGAGCTACACCAATTATATCAATCAAAGATAATTTGCAAATGAATCATGAATACATGTTAGAGAAAAATTTTAAACTTTTTTCTTGAAGTTTGTCTGTTTCGCATTACTATTGTTTGCAAAAGAACAAAAAGATGTTTTTTGTGTTTGTACTGGCTTATGCAAACCTTGAGACTTGTGAGAACTCTCTAGCTGGTGCAAACTGTCAACTTTTGGTGTAAATCGTGCACTGACATTGTCTCAAGTTCTACCAAATGTCTCCTCTGTTTGCTTAACCCTGTACAACAATTAAGCATCTTTTACTTCAAAATCCCATCCTATATTCAGTCTTCACAATTCTCTCATTCGAAGTTTCTTCGTGGGTGTACAAGAGGTGAGGTGTGACCTTTCCCTTACTAATTATCAATATACCAACAATTAAATTTTTGATTTTATCTTCCTGTCATCCGTTAATATCCATTGATATTAGCCATTAATGTTCATTCGTGTCCTTTTTTGCAGACGCACAGACGGTCATTGATATATATTTAAATTACGACTGTGAATTGGCTTTGTCGAATATCTTTCAAAGATTGATCAATGATTTGTCTAAAGTTGCCCAAGGACGTCAAGCTATTGAATTAGGAGCGACACCAGTAAGTTGATGAATATGTTTCATAATGTTTACTTCTCTACATTCTGTTGTTCATATCTATGCCACTCGAAAAGGACTGGAACGTAGTCTTCTATTATGAAAAGGACTGGGACATAGTCTATCAACATGAAAAAACCGGAGCATAGTCTATCAACATGAAAAGGACTAGAACATGTCTCTAATATTTTGTGCTGATAATGCTGATTATAATACATCTTTTTATCACGTTTTTATATGAATAGTATCAATGTCGTCTTATTTTTATATGATTTTTCCAGGTTCAAGAACGCAGTATTCGTATCAAAGGTCTGGAATGTCTCGTTTCTATTCTTAAATGTATGGTAGAATGGAGCAGGGATCTTTACTTTAAACCTGATTCTCAGGTGGACGATAATTTTGGTGAGTTTTAACATCTTTATGAAACTGAAGAAACTCGCATGTAGCGAATATAAACTTAATATTGTTATACATTTCGATAAGTTATCGCTTTATGATCCATTGTACCCCTCTTTTGATATCGGCTACACTGACGATTTTTGTCTCCATCAAGATTCCATCTTTCTATACTCTGTATCTCCTATTTATCGAAGGTACTCCATTATTTTCTTATACACACGTTAATGTTCTTAATCGTAACTAGTTGTTCGACAATTGTAGTTAACCTCTCAGGATCTAAGTTATCCCTTAGTTATCTTTTTTACCCTTGCTGGTCTCGCGGTGGATCAAGGCAATATCTTAATGTTTATAGTTACTCATTGTTGACCCATGCTACCCTCAATGTTCTAGTCTATCTCTCAATAATCTATACTATCTTCCCGATGATCTAGGCTATCTGTTAATGAGTTATGCTAACCTTGTAATGATCCACGCGATCCCTTTTTGATCTCCAAATCATCATAGTTATTCCTCAATACTTCTGTTTAATCTTTTCCATATAAATTTCCTGACAGATCTGGTTGATGGTGCACCCACAATTTCTGGAAAAGGAAGCACTGAGGAGAATGAAAACAGGGGGACCCGGTGATTTACAATCTCAAAAACGGGGGTAGTCAGTCGTCTCTTAACAGTACAAAAGCCATCGATAATGCTGAAGAATTTGAGAGTCTTAAACAGAAGAAGGAGACGAAAGAAAAGGGAATGCAATTGTAAGTTTGGTCAACAATTTTGCTTATCTTCTGTACTTTTAATCAATTCTACAATTTACTTTAAGATTTAACAAGAATCCATCAAAGGTATAAAATTCCTTCAATCTGAAGGTCTCCTTGGTGAGACAGCAACGGAAGTCGCTCAGTTCTTACACACTGATGATACACTAGACAAGGTGATGATCATTTTAGACCATCTATATCCCTTGCAATCCTTATGTTTCATTTCACATGATGTTGTCTTCTTTCACTAAAGTTTTCATTTTGTCACATTTGCACGCTATCTTTGAGGAATTTGTAGAAACATTAAATGTTGCTTTGGATTTTGACCCAGTGTTGCGTTTTATGGTTTTAGACTATGATTGGTGAGCTGATTGGTGATCCAGGACAGTAAGTATGTTTTTCACATCTCCCTCGCATGGTAATCACGTAAAAATCACGTTAAGACGTTTGATTCTCATCTTAAGTATTTATTTCAACATAAATTGAGTCAAGAAAAGTTGATTATGTTAATTTGCCATGAAGCCCATGGATGGTTTGCTCATGATACATGAAATAGTAAATCAGAAAATTTAATCGTAAAATCAAGAATGTTTAAAATATGTTTAAGGTTGCATTAAACTCCATGTAAAAGGACAAAAGCTGTTTGAAACTAAGCATTATCTTCAAATCTCTTGGTTATTTTGTCCATAAAACACAAAACAATTTTTAAATTCTCAAAATTTCTCTATCCAGTGAATAATATTGACAGAAGTCAGTAAGATTTGCTACTTTTCAAAATAAGCAAACAATATGTAGTACACTTAGATCTATTGTTCGTCATGTCCTCAACTGTTCTCATATCCTCATATCCTCATATCAACTGTTCCTCGTGTCTTCCTATACTTCTTAGATATGAACGGGAGATAATGTACGCCTATATAGATCAGTTGGATTTCACTGGTACCAATCTTGTGCAAGCTCTGCGATTGTTCTTACATAACTTCCGGCTTCCCGGTGAAGCGCAAAAGATCGATCGACTCATGGAGAAGTTTGCGAGTAGGTTCTGTGAAACGAACCCAAAGTAAGGACATGATTTGTGTCTTGTTATCTGTTGTTTTACATCTCGCATTGCATGCTGGTTCGTGAAACTTACGAAATGACTTTTGTCTATGAACCATGTGTTAATTTTTTTTTCATTTAACATCAACAATAATTTAGGACAGGTTTTTGACGCTTTTTGGTTTTTTTAAGTATTTTCTCATCGAACTTTTATTATTCGAGCTTTGAGGGCTGCAGTCTGCTATTAGATAGAAATAAAGTGAGTTGTTTGAACTGGGAGTATTGTTACATGTTTGTAGATGTAGATCGTCCAGGTTTGTTGAGTCCTGAGAAGGACTGTTGTTGTTGATGTTGACTGGAGTTTCTACAACCTTACTCATGTACAAACATTTTTAGATATAGCTAGGTTAGACTGTCTATGATAAACTTTTATTTTATATTTATCATATTTAGTGACGATGTGTTTGCTAGTGCAGACGCTGCCTACGTTCTGGCTTATTCTATCATCATGTTGACTACTGATCTACATAGTTCACAGGTTACACAGACTTACTTCATTTGCAATGGTTTTCTATAAAAGTGACTTTATGTCTAAGATCATGTGACTCCATTGTGGTGACGCGAGATTTTCATGGCGTTGATATGGAGCCTTCATTGGAATCACGTGAAAATTTAGCCTTTAGATGCGACATCGTAATCACGTGAAATTTTCTTTCAGGTTAAACGGAAGATAACGAAAGAGCAGTACATTCAAATGAATCGTGGTATAAATGACAGTAAAGATCTTCCATCTGAATATCTTGAAGCAATTTATGATGATATTGCACAGAATGAAATCAAGATGAAACATACACCAAAAGTGAACAGTAGATACGATGCTACATGTATGTATTGGAACATTAATACGAGAATCAAGGCTTAACTGAAAAATTGTACAGATGCTAGGTAAAGGTCTTGACTGCGAAGTGTAGAGTCCTAGTTCTGAGATGAAGGTGAAGGTCTTGAGATGGAGGTGTTGGTCTTGAGATGGGTGTAGGAAAGGGGCTTATAATGGATATTGTGATGTTCGGTGTTGGTCTTAAGAGAGCTCCAATGCATTTTCATGAAAGTAAAGAGATTTTTATTGTGCTTCCACTTTACAGATTTACAAAGTGAGAAACATCGTCGTATGTTGTATTCTATGGAAATGGAGCAGATGGCGGAAAACGCCAAAACACAAATGGAAGACGTGAGTCATATTCAGACGGATTTTGTCACGGCGACACAGATTGGTCACGTGAAGACAATGTTCAAGGTACGGGGGTGGAGTCTGGAGGATAATGTTTGTGGTGTATGTAAGGATTGATTAACGAAGCGTTAATTGTGATGTCAACTTATACGGACAGTGCCAAGTACGGGGGGCGTAGATTTCAAAACATGATGACATTCATCTTAATCTTGTTAAAGAAAAGACTTAAATTTTATGTAATGAATGTTTACGGTCACGAAGAGTAAATTTGTTTGATAATCTAATAGTTTAACTGACCAGTGAATGATTTTACTGGATTTTCTATTGAGATAATTCACTACATAAGTTAAATCTGCTTCTTACAACCGGTCCCAGTCCCCATTGTTGACCATTTTGTTTTGTATGTTTAAGGTTGCATGGAGTCCGTTTCTTGCCGCGTTCAGCGTCAATCTACAAGACAACGACGATCCTTCTGTTGCTTCATTTTGTCTTGATGGAATCCGCTGTGCAATACGAATATCTTGCATATTCAGCATGCCTGTAAGTTGATAAACACACAACATTCTGTTCATTTTAATATATTTGGGTATGAAATAACGACATTAATGTCTCTGCATACCTTTTCATCCCTGGTGACCCTTTCCCGGACATAAATATATATTCAAAAATATGTTGAATGTTGAATTGTTGAAATTTATGAATATATTTACGTAGTTACATACACGTCGTGTTCTTTGCGTGTTATATGTTCAAGGTTTAGATGATACTCATATGTATACAATAAAAACAGATGTTTGTTTACCTTTGAATTAATTGTCTGTTTGTGTACATATATGGATATATCAGGATGCATGTGAATGTGAAATAATCTTTTCTTAAAAGTTTTCAATGATTACAGTTAGTTATAATGATGTTAGGGAATATGAATGGAGATTCTTTACCATTAAGTTCATTTTTCGATACTCCTAATAACTCTTTTCACATTGTAGTTGGAAAGAGATGCTTTCGTACAAGCGCTATCCAGGTTCACTTTACTTACTGCGACCAGTGGCACGCATATTCATGAAATGAAAACGAAGAACATCGAGACGATCAAGACACTTCTTACCATCGCTCAAACGGATGGTAATTACATCGGGAAGTCTTGGCTCGAGGTAGAGAGAATCATCTTGCTATATATTATGGTTGGTGTCTACGACTGAAAATATGATCGATTGATTTTTTTCATCAAAGGAAAAAGTCTAGGTCTTGTCTGTAGTGGAAACTTCACGATATTGCTACAGTCTTTAACTTTCATTTTTCCAAGTGCTTTGTTGACCGTATTTCATACCCTTCATCAGAGAATCGTATCACAAATGTACATCTGTAATAAATATGCATAAGAAAATGAAGTTTTTCTCAAGATATTTTTATTTGAAGATATTTTCTACGTATGTATTTAACGTTTATGTTCGTCTTGTTGGACACTCGTTTTCGTTGCTCAAATGCTCGTTCCGCTCGGCGCATCTTTTTACGTTTCCCTAAAGTCATTGTTTTCATTCTAGATACTGAAATGCATTTCCCAACTTGAATTGGCTCAACTTATCGGTACTGGTGTGAAAACGCGATACCTTCACACGGCGTCCAGCGGTGTTACTAATTCACCCACAGCATTCACCGCAAACAACAAGACATCTTATGATATAACCTCAGGTTGCTTATAACATTGTTGTGACGCTCATAGAAAAATGTCAAATACTAACGTTGGGTGCTTTTCTTTGCTTGTATTTCTATGAAGGTCGGATGCCTGTTGCCGCTGACTCGAAAAAAGCGGCTGGCTCACAGGAAGCCATTGGGGAGACCGCTGCACAAAGTGTTGTCGTTGCAGTTGACAGGTAACGTTTACTTTAATGATAGCTATGTGGATTGTATTTTGTGACCTATCTCCCACCCCAGGGGCGAAGCTAGAACGTTAATGCAGGGGGAGAGGTGAATATTCACATATATGGTCATATATTCCGCTGTGACCAACTAATTTCTTTTCAAATTAAAATAGCTTTTAAACCAAATCATTCAAGCAAAACTAAATATATGAATATTAACCCCTCCCATTCAGCGTTCTGGCTTCACCCCTGCCCCCCCAGGATTCTTTAAAATTGTCTTTAAGCTAGAGTGGGCCTTCTAACAGCAAGAAAAGTCGATGGATGATTCTCTATGTAGACATGTTCATTGTCCATGTTAGCAGAGTCCTGAGAATGACTGTTATTGTTATTGTTGACTGACGTTTTGACATCCTTAGCGGTAGTCATCTTCAGGCTCAAGTAAACCAGAGAACATTGAAGATAAACATGAAATTTAAATTTTGAAGAACTCGTGCACTGTCCATACGTTATGTTCTCTCAGCAGAATATCTTCATCTCAACTTCTTCATTGTGTTTTATTACGTTTAGATTTTTCACGGGATCAGTGAAACTGGATGGTGATGCTATCGGTAGGTTTGCATGTATACATTAAACTGCATCTTACATAAGATTTTTATACATCTAACTTGATCATAATTCACTGACCATTCTTTATCCCAAGTATCCAAATCTCCAGTTCCCAAGTCCCAGTATCCAAATCCCCAGTTCTCAAATCCCAAGTATCGTTATCTCCTGTATCCAAATCTCAAAATGTTTTCGTTTTTCTCCTAAGTCGATTTCGTGGGAGGTTTACGTCAAGTCTCGAAAGTTGAGCTTTCCAATCCTACAATGATACGTATGTTTAGTCTGCAGAAGATCGTAGAGATTACTTATTACAATATGGGTCGTATTCGGCTGCAATGGTCACGAATATGGGCTGTGTTGGGAGATCATTTTAACAAGGTTAGCGATTATTAACGACTAAGATTGTATCTTGATATTAATAATAAAAACATAAGGTTGTTATGATGTACTCAGGTATAGTAACAAGATAATCGTTGTGTTCAATGTTCTACCAACTAAACTATCAGATAAACTGTGAACTATGATGATATTTTAAAACACAGTTCTAGTTTCTTTCATATCTCATATCTCAAGTATAAAACAAGATAATCAATGCCTTCATCTCCAATGTTCTACCAACTATAGTACTTCTCCATCTTAGATAATTTATGTGCCATTTTAGTGTGGTTGTAACCCTAATGAAGAAGTTGCGTTCTTCTGTGTCGACTCTTTGCGACAATTATTCATTTAATTCTTGGAAAAGGCGAATTGCCAAATTTCCGATTTCAAAAGGATTTTCTCCGACCCTTTGAATACATAGTGAAGAAAAATAGGTAAGTTTATGCAGGAGTCAATTCTGTCGGAAAATGTAAAGTTTCTTGCAGCTTGAAAATCTTTCTCTCAAATAAACAAAATTTGTGGCAGACTTTGCAGCTTCTTTTCCAAATTGAAATTTTACGAAGAATTTTACAAAGGAAGTCTTTCAATCAATCGCTCTGTTATAATTGGAAGGATTTGATTAAAATTCTTTCTTCGATATCTTTATGAACTTGGCAACAAATTTGTAAACTTTGCAACAGTCATTATAAAGTCCGTGTATAAGGTGTTGTATTTCCTCGTTATAAAATGAGACATCAGCTGAGGATGTTTTGAAATTTGTGATGTTTCTTTTTAGAAATCAGAATGGATGACAACAACTTATAATCACGCGCTATATGCTATCATCGATGTTTTTACTCAGTATTTTGATATTCTTGCTGAAATTCTTCTTGATGGTATGTATGGCCATCTAGAGTTGTGTGTCAAATAAGGTAAGCTTGAGATTACGCAACGTGTTTGTGCTTGGCATTTGCCTTGGGGATTGGTTCGTTGTGTCAGAGTTTGTGATTGGTTTGAAATATCAGAGTTAGTGATTGGTTTGAACTATCAGAGTTAGTGATTGCTTTGAACTATGAGAGTTTGTGATCGGTTTGAATTATGAGAGTTTGTGATTATTTTGAACTAAGAGAGTGTTTGATTGGTTTAAAGTATGAGAGTGTGTGATTGGTTTGATTTGAGGTACATTAATATACAAGAAGTATCAGAGTTTCTTACAGGTTCGACTGTAAATGCTTTGTAACACCATGTCCTGCTTTGCTTGTTCATTCCATACATGTCTTAAGATAACGAGCAGTTGGCGAGGTCTGGTACCAATTGTTTGGAAAATCTCGTCATATCCAATGGCAGCGCGTTCTCCAAAGACGTCTGGGAAAATACATGTCAATGTGTAAAGACGATATTTGAATCAACTATACCTCACGAACTATTGAAATGGAGACCCGCTGACCAACAAGTAATAAGAGTCTACCCACACCTGATGTCACTCTGCGTCATCACCACTCAAGGTAAGTTACACTTAGGGCCTGATTACATGGAGGCGAACTGGCCCGGATAGCGAGCTAGCCCGATGATTTCAAGGGATTGAAAAGAGCCAAAACGTCAAGGTTTAAAATTACAACTGTTTGCGAAGCGCCACACGTCATTCCATTTGTAATTATGAAATTATGGCAAATTGGTTGTTTTAATTTAAATGTTTTGCGTAGTTATTAAATCAGAATATTGTGAAATTGCTTGAGAAAATTTATCTGATGATTAGTATTGAATCGTTTCCATTTGCCAAAATGATTTAACGCTTGGCTGAATCCCGGCTGCCGGGATCATGTAATCCGCCCCTTAGTATTTTTTATTAAGTTTGAAAGCCTGAAACTCTAAAATTTTAGACAAACTTTCACAACTATTCGGTTTATTTTATGTATTTAGTACCTTTACGATTTACGTATATTGTAGATAAAGTCACTTGTCGACCTGGAGGATGATATCGTGCCCAAATATCCGGAAGGTAAATATAAAGTTTGTGAATTCTTTTAAAGGAAAGTTTTTGCTTCGATTGTCTCCATAATTATAAGATTGGGAAATATTTCACGGTAAGCTAAAGTTTGCATATTAAAAAAGCTCATTTGAACCAAAAGCTCATATGAAGCAAAAGTTCGCATATTGCAATATAGCTCGTGTGAATCTTTAACTCGTATGGACCAACAACTTGCATTCTTTTGAGTAGCCAGTGAAAATTTTCCGTATTATTTTTCAGACGAGGACGAACAAGATGGCCAGCAATCGTCAAAAGGTTTGAATGAAACGCAGGAGGAAATGCCTCAAGAAACAGTTTAAGAAACCAAAGAACAAGACAGCATTAGTTTACATAGTACGCCTAGTTTACGATTTGAACCTGTCAAAGAACACGAACCAGGTAACTATGTGTTAGAAATCAATTGAGATTAATAATTTGTTGTCACAGCCTGCTGCCATTTACGTGTTTAATTTACTTTGGTTTATTGGAAAGGCATAGCAAAACGTATAATTGATATTTGCGTTTGAAAACTCAATCTGAAGTAAATGGCGACGTCATGTAACATTTCCTGAAACTGCTTATGTTCTAAAAACTTACATTTTTTTCAATGTTTGAAACAATAATGTTGTTAATTGTTATTAACAGAATTAATAATGTTACTAATTAGCACTGATTGAACTAATAATTTTGCTAATTGTTACTAATAGAACTAATAATGTTACTAATTAGTAATTATTACTACTTCTCCTGTTAACACTTATTTTTCATAAAAAATAGCACTAACTTAAGAAACTCATTTTTGTTTTATTTTTTGGCATTCGTTGCTTATTTTATTTTATTTTATTTTAGAAGACCTCTAATAAGATAAATTCGCCTTTCGTTTGGCATATTCAAATGTTCGATTTTTACCGACAAATGAAAAAATCGTCTGAGCGTGAATACGGAAATGTTAAACCAACACCCGAGTGACATTTTTTAATTTTTTCATGTATGTACTTTAACGTCGTAAAATCATCTGATTATTTTAGTTGTGCAGACGGAGAGGATGCTGTTCAATTCATTGATCATTAAGTTTGTCGCTCAGTTGGAACTTATCCAAATGATCGACAATGTCGTCTTTTTCCCAAGCATCAGCAAGCGAGAAGATGAAGATACTATGGCTGAATTACAGGTCAGTTGTAATTACGGTCATTGTAGGTAATACTGAGATAAATTGCTTGGTTGTAATGTTGTTATACCAGAGTTCCCCTTGGTGGCTCAACAAAGTCCTTAGCTGAAATACAGAATAAGGAGCTTTAGCAAAGACTATGAGTTTGATTTACGTCATTTTAGAGCGAAAACATTGTAGCGACAACAAAAACACGTAGCCGTCATCAATCTGAGTACGATGTTTTGTAAAAAATTCGTCGTGGCGACTACGATGTCTTTTTAAGCAAAGAAAGTAGATATATTTCTTCATTCTGTAAGAAATTAGTTTACAGTACTATTTTCGAGCATCCAGGCTTTAATTTAGGACCCTTTTGGGAGCAGATGTACATTTAAAAGTAAAATATGACCTGCAAAACTTTCATGTATTTCGTACGCAAATGAAAGGTAAACAAACAAAAAATAGTACAAATATATCGTACATAAAACTTAAAATAGTGAAGATTTTTCATTTTAAAGAGTCCTATATTCTCGCAAAATCAGTATTACCGATTCTTTGAAATCATTATTGACAAATAGAGCCGTAGCTGCTTCGCAAACTTCGGTGTTTTACACAATAAAAAGTCTCGTTCTGTTGTTTATAATTAAAACAAAATTTTGATGAAGCGACAACGACAACAAACTTCCTCGTGCCATTCCCTTACACGGTCAAACTTCGTACTCGTTGTCGTAGTCGTACTCTTGCTAAAGCTCCCTAATATGTAATAAACAGAAAAGACACTTGGCATCTTTAGTTGTTAGCAATAAATTTAATCAATGAAAAAGTTTGTCAAACAAAATGTGCCAGGATTGTCACCATTGCACTTGACTGTATACAATTAAGTTGTTTTTGTTTGATGTGTTAGGACACTTGGAGTCTTTAGTTGTAAGAAATAGATTTAATCTCGGAAACATTGTCATTTCGTTGTCTCTAAGCCATTACAATTGGATAGCACAAAATAAAGTTGCTACAGAACATTTTTTGTTACTTTCCTTCTAAATTCCTCTCTCAGAATAAGCTAGAGGATCCATACTTTAAAAAATTTGTCATTATTGCTATCCTTATCTATCTACAGTAATTAGTCATTTCCAATCCTCCAAGTTCCCATGTGTCTTTTACCAGAATCCTTTATCCCTCCATATGTCTATGTAGGTCATGTATTCATCTTATATAAAGTTCTATATTTCATATTCTTTGTTCTTAGAAACTCATTGCTTATGGTCATATTGTTGGTGATACACCAGACTCCATTGAACCAGAAAGGCGTTTAATTGACAGAATTATCGAGACTATTTGTAGTTGCTTTACTGGTATAATTACTGATGTAAACGTTCAAATACAAATTATAAAGATATTTATAAAAGTGATGTCAAACTGATAAAGTATTTAATGAGAGAAATGATGTATCCTTGAGGAATTTAACGAGGGTAACGACATATGTTTTTTACATTTTTAGTTTAATTTTTTATTATTTTTAATATTACGTCACCTACACCAGATATAACATAAAGTTCACAAAAAATATTCTCGTACTATATTGAACTTGCAGGAACGATGTCTCTTTAAAGGAAAGAGCTATTTGTTTTATAAATAAAAGAAGAAATATGCTAGGAAGACAATTTGATCTTTATAAAAACAGGACATTAATTTAATTTTCAAAGCCTTTATCAAACTTTCTATTTTATGAAGTTATTATAAATTACTTACAAAAATCATCACAGAAAAGAGTATCCAACCATGTATCAAAACCGTATGAGGTACATACCCATATTTTTCAAGGAGTTTAATGAAGTTAATCATCTATTGAATTTAAAAGTTTTGTCAAATTTTCGTAGATTCTTTACAATACGACAATAAGAAATTGAAGGTCTGTTATGGCGATCGGTGCTTAGTACCTATTACATCAATACATCTCTTGATCTTTGACCCTGGAGTTTCAGAAAAACAGTTTGGCTATTTCCATTTGGACAATTTTTGGCCTTTATTCTCTTCAAATTTTTTTTCTAAAATTTATACTGGGGCCTGTTGCACGAAGCGTGGATAGCGTTATCCATTGGATAGTAGTTTTTTAAATTTGTGAATGTGCATGGTTATATTTTGTTTATGATGATGAAACTTTGTAATTCTAGAACCAATATTGTATTTCATTTATTGTCCAGTTCGAATCGTTGATTTTTCCTTTTTAAGATATTTTTGAAGCGCTCAAAAACGTTGCTACTCAGTTTAATGGATAGCGTTATTCGGCCTTCGTGTAACTGATCTCTTCTTTGGTAATTTATTGGTAAAGTCTCTGCAAAATATAAATCTGGTGAGAACCACATATGGACAATGAACATGATTATTGTCTACTTTTCAGCTGTATCCAGTTACAAGTGCGAAAGTGAATTAGAATGATCTCGTGATGAGCCCATCCCTTCCTTACATTTTAATGATGTGTACATTACAATACGATTAAAGACAAAATTGAAGAAATATTTCAATATAAAACTGTGACTCTACGTTGTGGAACGAAATAATAAGTGTGGAAATGAAGAAATAGTCGTTTTGGTCATATTTGGTGAGTAAAATTGTGTAAAACATTGATTTTAAAGCCGTATTGTTTAGCTACTCGTTGTATTGTAAGGTTTGACTAAATGGCAGAATACTCGTCCACTTGGATTCATTGACTGTGCATCCACATTTCAGTAGATACACAGATGATATTATGCCGTATATAAGATGATTCTAACTTCTGAGAAAAGAAAATCAACGTGAAACGAAACTATAAGATAAATAGCGCTACATCTATTGGACGATAATATATATTTATGCTTAGTATATTAAATTGCGTTTCATCATATAAACATGAATGATCTGTTTACTTATCAAAACGACTATATTTTAATATTTAAATCACCACGAACGATTTGCATCAATTATACATTACCACATTGATAGGTAATTATAGATTTATAGTGCCATTGTCGCACAACCTAAGATTTCTGTTGTGTGGGATGCTAAATCACGATTCTTTTGACGACAAACGTTGGTCATTACCACGAGTATTAAAATCAAAAAATGCTTATCCAATTCGTCTCTTCAAGACTTCAACTCAATGCGTTACAATGCATTAAAAGACACATGCAACATAAAATTCGGATTGTTATTTTTGTACTTTACATAAAGGTATAGCTCCAACTAATAGTTCACCAAAGTTTGAGACTCAAAGGATAAATATTTTTGAAGATATGGAAGTTTAAAGTTGATGCTTTACTGACAACGTATTAAAAATGCCCGACGAGCTAACGACGGCTACCGATTGGAAAAAGGTCGTTGTGACGTAATAGTTGACATTAGCTAAACGCGGTCAATTGCGCGCTTCGTTCTAAATATATTGGTAATTTCTTTGCCTGCATTAACAACACGACAATTTAGCATTGAAAATATGGTTTATTGTGCCGCATTTAATTATAAAACAGTTCTTCTAAGAACCATCAAACGCAGCAAAGGTTTCTTTTTCGTTTCGAAAACAAGCGCATACGAGATATTTGGATTGAAAAATCTGACGCAAAAATTTGAACCCAACAAAGAGCTCAAAATTGTGCTCGCAACATTTCGAGAGTTCGTGCTTCGTGGAAAATTTTGAAGCGATGCAATCAGTAGGATGGAAAGCAGGACGGCCTCGCCTTAAGAAGGATGCTGTATCCACGATTTTTTAATACTCTGTGGAACCCACAAGTGTAGCATCTAAAAGGAAGCAGCCAACAAATGTTAGAACTGCATTTGAGAAGAGACGAAGGCAAGAGGTGATTATTATAGTTATAGTTAGCGATATTTGTTTACATTTATAAAAACTAAGCTAAATAGCATTACCAAATTGAGGACAATTTTATAATTTTAGATTATTGACGACGTTCTTGCAGAACATGACGACTTTCTTGTTGGCGACGACCACGATGTGTCGACATCGGCTCGAAATGTTTGTGCGTTTTACCTCAAAGGAAGTTTGTCTAAGATAAAGATGTCAAAATATATGTAGACAGCGAAACACAAACATATACAGTGGTAACTAATTCAGACTAATGTCGTTTGATCATTTCTTTGTTATTTTAACTCATAGAAAATTCCTTAACTACCTTAGAAGCGCAATGTGAAATGCCAAGCAGCCATAACAATCCGTCCGCAAAACACGTAAGGTCAAGAACCACTCAAACAAAAGTGCCAAATATGATAAGTAGAGGTATAGACTTTCCATTTCGGTCGTTTTGATTTTTGTGAAAAATTTTAATTTTATCTAAAGGTTGAGTTAATTTCAACAAAAAATCATAGCACACAGACGACGTCATGTGAAATTGAACATTTTGAGGATAGCGCTGTATGGTCTGATACAGAAAGCACGTCGACGATGAGCAATAGCTACAATGGATCAGACTCTCACTCGTTTTCTTCACTCTCAGGCATAGGTCCAATGTCATGTGTGTACGACCATAGCTGTTTTACGACAGCTTCGTTTGTACACACTGTGGCAAACTTTTCCTCTTATGTGATATAAAATTATCGCCATGTATCAGAGGATCAGTATTGTTTACCTCTTGGCAACATATACTTTCCGTCCTGTACTCATGACCACACAAAGCCACACTCACACCTAAAAGATAAAAACATTGTTTTTACTTTGGGAAAAACAATGAAGCATCAATAAAATGCAACTAACCATTCAACATTTCCAATTCTGTGAATGTATTTATCTTCGCTTTCCGATGACGGAGAATTGTCATCATTATGACCACCTTGCGCGTTGGCCAAAGGCTCAAACATGTAAGGTTGTGCCTCATTGTTATTGATGATAATATCATAATCGGCTTCTTCAGAAGAATGCATTAATTTTTGATAAATAAAAAACAGTAATAGCAAACTACCGAAAGCCGTGCAAGTCGTAGAACGATATAAGAACAATGCTTGTTTATGTCAACTAATACGTCACTCTTTCCCAGTTCCCAGACTTAAACAATCTCACGGCGTTTTAGCAATTGTCATCGTGTTCAATGTCAATGTGTTTTTACCGATTATAACCCTAAATATCTTTTGAAATATTTTTCGGATGACTTTGAAACTTGGTACGTCTTATTTTCACGCTATAGGCATTACAATAAAATAAAGTTGTCTTCTAGCTTGCATTTGTCCTTTAAGTAATGGAAGCTGTTGTTTTTATAAACGACCGTAGCATGTTGAAATTTAGCAATATGGAAGGACGTTTGAAAAAAACGTGAGACTCTATCGTTAGAGATAAGACTTTAAATTGGTATCGGTGAAACATAGTGTGTCTTTTGTCGTAGACTCGTAATGCAACACTTTGTTACTAACCAATGCTAACTCAGGGTTACGTATTAGCAACAATGAGATGGATGTTAGTAACCTTAGTAACGTCAAGTTTTGAAAAAGTAACAAATTTTTTTTAATTTATGCACGGCACATGATCAATTACAAACGTGTAATGAATAAGTTAGTTGTCAAGAACTACTTGTATAAAAGTTTGTATGCACTTCGTTTACCAGAAGTAATCTCAACTTGAAGGTGTAAAATGACCACGACAAACAACATGGTACATATGCCAATTCTTCAATCCGGGTCGAAAATCCTAAAATCGACACCCCACTAAAATTGCAATGTCAACATAGTTCTAACTTTTAAAAACAAAAAGAAATAACTTTTCTGAAGTTCTTGACATGTTTAGAAGGTTCACTTTAGGGGTGGTCATGGGAGAAAAAACTTTGCACAACATCAATATTTACTGAGAGAATTACTATGTACCATCTCTGGTCAAATGTAAAGTTTGCATAAATTAACCAATATTCTTGGCAGAGATTGCATTTTCATATTTTCAAAGGAAAGATCACATGAGATGAAAAAGAACATTTAACCACAGTATAGAGAACATACAGTAGTGCCACTCCATTGAATTTTTCGTGCCACGCATATCTTATTACGCATGTGGTTATTGTAGCCTGTCTATTGCTTTTTAGACGAATAGAAATGATGAAATGTCTAACGGCAGCCAGTAATCTAATTAAATATACAGCAGCCAGTTGCATATTGGACCTACTGTATATTCCTATACTATGACATAGATGTCATTAATGTTTCATAATACTGTTTGTTGAAGTAGATCCTGACTCATTTTTCATCTTCGTTCGTTATTTAAATGGCTTTATGTAATAAAACTCACAAGAATAAAAAATTAATGTTTAATAAAAGGCATGAACTATGATCATTTTTAACTGATATGTAATGTGGGCGCGTTGTTTATATTAAATCTCTCATCCGTTTGTTGAGTATATGACATGTAAAGAACAGAGCAAGCATAATTTTGTTCACACGGTCGTCTTCATCAGCGTCGCTGATGTCCTTTGAAAACCAACTCCTACTACAACCGTGCCTTCTGGATCCGACTCGGAAAGAGGGAAGTTCAATCGCTTGCTGCTGCTCGTCTTTGGCCGCTTTCTGGCGGGCCAGAACATCCCCAGGCCTTTCTCAAAAGCAACTATTTCACTCCGCGTGCACAGCTGGTACAATTATTGTACGGAAACCCTCAACGGTTTAAAGCAAATCTCAGGGAGCCTCATGCGGATCAGGATATGCGTCTTGCCATCGTGGCTGACTATCACGTGCTTTCGAATAAAGTAAACAAACAGTTTCTCAGCAGGCATCCCTTTAAGGTGGTCGCTAACGCCGTAGTCGGCTTCGGCCATCCCCAGTTTCTCCTGGCGAGGAGGAAGTTGCAGGAGATTAGATAGCATGCTTATGCGGTTCCGGCAGTTAGAAGTTCGGTGATTTGTTGGCCTTGCTTGACACCTACTCCAAAACACCCGAGAGCAAACTTATAAATTACGGTCGTCATTTTATGCCTGGAAGCGTCAGAGGCAAGATGACTAGCGATGCTGCCTTTATTAATGCACTCCTCATTAACGAGAGCCGCATCACTAGCAAGTGTGTTGCTATATTGAAGTTTGAGGCCTTGTATAAATGTTTCATGGTCATGGCATTTTGGACGACCACTTGGGAGAAGACAGCGGCTGCTTCTGGTTATCAGTGATCAGGAGGAGTGCTTGCTTGCTTGCAGGATGCTGTGGTGTGGAACTAAACAAAAATTGGAAATAGGGATACCGAGGAACTCGCTCGAGCCAACGAAGCAGAGCGCTTCGCTTCGTGAAAGACGACATTAGAAGCCAGATAAAGAGAGCTCCGCGAACAGACGCGAGAGATAGAAGCACAGCTGGACGCTGCACGTGCGTGCAGGGAGTGGGCATTTCGCTGGGGGCGTATGGACGCTCTGAAAAAATACAGTGTCAAGTTGCGGATGGCGATTCACGCTAGACATAAACTTTGTGCGCCATTGACAGTGTTGCATCATCTTGGTGTGACAGTTTTCGCCTATCCCACGCACGCCAGGCTAGAGATCGAAGCTGTGGATCATAATAATAAATCAGGAGCGGTGAACATCTCTTTGTTCGCGAGGGAAACCAGTGAAGTTAAATGAAACCGTGTGTATGAAATAAAGACCAGCGGCATGGAGTGTTTGAATGTCAAACTGGCGCTATGAGCGTCATGAATCTAAAGCCGAGCATTGATGGTCGGCGGCATAATCGCACGTGGTTGGCTGGCAAACCTATGAATGTTTCATGCCTGTGTGATGACAGCAGTGTTGTTGGCGTAATGGGATGGAAATGGTTATGTAAGTACGAGTCTCCCGGGCACCAAAGAAAAAGCTAGTTGAGGAGGAGATGAGAGTTAGTTGGCCTTTCACCGCTTCCTCCGGGCTGCTCCTGAGGAACTGCAACGGCAAGTTGTGCTTTCGAGGGAGCGAGTAGGATGCCCATATGTCGCGTTTTTTATCTCTCAACCTGTGTTTTGTGTTTTGGTGAGGAAAATGTAAAGCATATAGGAGATTTTCTTTATTTTCATTTCAATTACTAATGATGACGATTTGATTTAACAGATTGTCAAAATTGACGAAGAATTTAGAGATATGATTAGAGTCAAGCTATGTTTCTATGGGGACTACTGCAGTTTAGCGGACACCTTGACGCTCACCCAAACCCTACCCTATAATACCCAGCAAAACGAGCCCGCGGTCACAAGCGCTTCGGGTGTTCGCTAAACTGCAGTCTATCAAAAATATAAATTTGAACAGAATCATCAGCAATATAGTCCTATCAAAATGTTAATAAGCAAATATTCATACAACACAGCAAACCAGTTTGATATATCCTGTTAAAAGAACGACTTATCTCTTCACCACACGATTGTTAAACAAATAAGATATATTATTTATTAACCAGGAGTTACTATCGAAAAGTAGTTACTGCCTCTCGCTCCGAGTAGGCAAAATTATTATCATTTTAACTTTTTTTCAGTGTATCAAGTCTAAAATTTTAACGCCTTAATGTAAGATCAATTTCTGGGTCATGTCAATAGGCAGTGAAAACAATTTTTATCGAGAGAAAGAAATGAAGCATACAAGTCTTTGCAAATGACTTGTAGTACTATTTTTAACTTATCCTTTTAACTTTTGTGAAAATTTTGTACGTATTAAATTTTACCTTTTTTAACAAACTCATTCCTAATTTCTAGAATAAGAAATGGCTTCGCCACCTAAAAGATTAAAGATTGAGGAAAATGGATCTCGTTTGAGTAAACTTTAATCAATAAAGGAACCCAAGCCTTAAAATAACATTGCAAGTCATTATAAGCCTTCAATCATCAAACTTAAAAGATAAACTTAATGATGCTTTTAACAGAAAGAAATTGGAATCATTAAAAAAGAAAAAAGTCATCAACAAAGAGCAATGGGACCTTCTTTACCCTTCAAATAAAACACCAGAAATTGGAAACTTTGATATTTCATTATTGACTGTCTTATTGCGTAACATATGTGGTCTAACAGCGCCATGGTGGATGGAATAATCTTCCTTCCTCTTCAGAACTTCAATCTCAGCAAACATTGCAAGAATAAAGTTTTATCGAAACAAAGTGTATGGTCACATAACTACAACTAGTGTAAATGACAGTGAGTTTGAGTACTTGTGGCAAGAAATTTCAAAAGCATTGGTTGGTTTGGGTATTCAACAAATTGAAATAGATGAATTAAAGAAAGCTCCTCAGTACCGATGAGGCAAATTATATTGAAATGTTAAAAAGAATGGTATAAAAAGAAGAGCAATTTATCGATGTCACTGAAAAATCAAAGAAAATGT